CAAAAAATAAGCAATAATTATTAGAGAAAATAACACTTCTACTATTGAATCAACTTTTGCAGCCATACATCATTTTCACGCAGCTCACTTCTGAGATTAACCTGCATAAACCAAACATTTGCTCAAACAACACTTTCTACACATCTAAAACCTACAAACAGCAAATTATTGAATTCTAGGTACTTAACCAAACATTTTCAAACCACAAGCCTATAAACATACCAATTGTTTATGGACATTTTTATAACGCGGATGCAGGTAGGCAGCGTCTCGTATATATCGATCTAGCCATATAATATCGAAACCACAAGCCTACTGCAGCTCTATCTATATCGGTGGGAGGTAGATACTTTATACTTCCTGTGATCAAACGGTCCAACGCCAAGCATACGAGAGGACCACAATCCCCTCTGGGTCCTTTCGTTTGTTGTGGTGCGGTCTCGTCTCTGCTAACTGTAATATTAAGCTTCTTTGGCTTCTTGTTTCCAGAACGAGTTCAATAATTTATCGCATCCAAGTATTTAGCCAAATAAGAGCTCCATCCCTTAATAATATCTCTTAAATTAGCCAATGATATGTAATTTATCATGCTGTCATATATTATTGCCTTAAGGGATGGGATCTGAAGCTCGACGAGAAGCCAATGGTTACGTTCCAAAACAGGGATAAACACCTGCAATCATAAGTAATAATTCATTCATTTGCGCACTTATTTATGAATACCTTTAAACTCAATCTAAAATAAACACTAACCTTATCGACCTCCCACCATGCAGGATAAAGTTTAGCTTGTCCATTGCCCAACGCAAATGATTCATCTCGTTGATTCTTCAAGTGAACTGCGTTAAAAGCCGTCGGCATTATTGTATACCGTGTATTTCTTTTATTTTCCTTAAGTTTCCTAATTATTAGTAGACGTGACACCCACGCATCGATATGTTGTTTTACAAAAAAATACATATATTAGTGAATTACATTAATTTTTAAACAAATTAATCAAATGAAAATATAAGAAAAATATAAGACTTACCCCTCCATCGAAATAGCCATTGTCTTCGACCCCTAATAATACGCCCCACCAAGACCGTTCAAGCAACAAATAGATATCATCATTGAGCTTGCATATGTCAGTGAAACACCCCTGGCTTCGCTCATGTAGATAAAAATCAACTGCGGTCTTAGCCCAAAGGGTGTTATCCAGAATTGTGTCCGGTAGTTGTTTCCTCTCCTCTTCAGATACCGGCATGGTACTGGCCGGTAACTCATACGAGAGCCAACTTGAATCCATCATGTCCGGCACGTCAGAGGGTTTCTCAAGAATCCTACATATGACGCCATGTGAATCGGGCTCTTGAATGGTGGGAGGGACCTCTTCAACGATGACAGTGGCCTCTTGAACGGTGGGAGGGGACTCTCGAGGAATCATAGGGGCCTCTTCAACGATAGGAGTGGACTCTTGAGGGATGATAGGCGAGTCGGGCTTCTTCTTGCGGTGTCTTCGCACTATTGGGGTATACGGAGACCTAATAGCACGTGCACGCCGTCTGATGCGTGAACTCTGTCGTGTAAGAAAAACCCGACGTAAAGCATCCACCTTATCGGTCCGCTAAATAAAAATACAAATATCAGTAAATAAACAGACATGATATTTAAACAGTGAAAACAAAGATAAATATATTTCAAACTTTCAACCAAAAGACAAAACAAAGACAAATACTAACTTCACAGTGTTAAAGTAAAAAGTAGAGTATGAACCTCATTCTGCAACGATACTACCATCTCACGTAGAGCGGCAACCTCACCACGTAAAGTAGACACCTCCACACGCCATGCACCATCGTTATCGCGTAGAGTACCGATCTCCTCACGCAAGGCATTGACCTCATCACGTAACTCCCTTGACTCATCTCGTGGAGGTGGAAAACAGGGAGATAGAAGTCGTGGCATCTTTGTCGATCGCCTATCATGAGGTGATGGTGGAGAAGAGACTCGATGATGTGACGGGATAGGTGATGGCTCTCGTTGTAGAGGTGTATAGTCGGGTCGATCAGGTGATGGCTCTGGGTGAGGTGATGGCTCTCGAAGTGGAGGAAGTGGAGGCTGCTCATCATTCGTGCCATCAAAAAAACGCTGACTAGCTTGCCACCAATCAGTGGCAAGCTCAGCCTCCGTGGGTGTCAGTCTCATTAATGGAGTGTTGGCCTCCTAAAAATATAAAAACTAAAACAAAGTTAAACGTCTACTATTAATAACTTGTTTATATATGATAGTATTTGTGTTAACTTACATTATTTATTGTCGCATATGGTATTAAGTCTTCCCAATCCAACATACGTTTCCTCTTCCAGGAAATAGCCCTAGGAATATCATCTGAGGATTTTAATGCATATGTCCGCATGCTGGGGAAAGCCTCGAATATCCAAATCTACAAACAATATAATAACAAACATTAGTAATTGTTAAATAATTAATTATAATTTTGAAAACATTATATAGAAATTCTTACCTTAAAGGCCCAAACAAAGCCTGACAAAGTGTATTTCGACCCATCGCCCCGCAAACTTTTGCGGTCATCAAAGGCAGACGACAACTTAGTCCAGGTAGCTTTCCATATATACGAACCCCACGGAAACATATTCCATGCATTTAGGTCCTCTACCAATAATATTAGCTCCTGAGGAATAGGTTGTCTGGCCTCTCTGCCTAGAAAGCCGGCATACAAAAGTAGTAGAAGGCATACTCGGACAACATCGACGTCATTCATCCGAGTAAAACCATCTTTCTTATTAAACAATTTCTTCATGTCATCGACGTGTAAGTTCGGCTTCTCTATTGACTCATCAGGAAAAACCCTGGATAACCATGATGGGCGGGTGATATGACGAGTGTACCGGCCTACATCATCGTGTCCGAATCGTAGACCAGTGATTAAGTAGAACTCCTTCCGCCCAAAACAAGTATACGCCGGTGGAAAATGAAACCATATCTCTTCCTCACCATGTTGTATACTGTCGGGTAGATCGCTAGTCATGGTCTGAAGCCACAAATGGGTCAAACTAGCATCTCCACCCGAATGCTGTACTCTCAGCCATGGCCCGAAGCAGGTTTCTTCAAACAATTTTCTTTGTGCAGGTGAAAGCTTCGAAGCAATTGTAGTGGCTAGGCTAACTTTATTCCTTAATGTCAATGAAGCCGAAAAAAATTTCTACAAAAAAACAATAAACATACCAAGTTAGATATACCAAAAATTACACTGTCAAGATATACAAAAAACAAAAAAAACAATAAACATAAATAGTAGTTTATTCTTGAAACTAAAATTTGCAACACTGTTTTTGTATTTTGGTTGAAATGAAAATCGCAACGAGATAATGAGAATCGCAACGCGGAAATGACTATCGCAACGAGAGAATCGCAACGCGAAATGACTATCGCGACCAGACAATCGCAACGCGAAATGAAAATCGCAACCGCGAAATAAAAATCGCAACGCGAAATGAAAATCGCAACGCGAAATGAAAATCGCAATGCGATTTTGGTTTCTCGTTGCGATTTTTATTTCGCGTTGCGATAGTTATTTCCGCGTTGCGATTTTCATTCTCGAAACTATTCTTCTTCTGCATTACTTCAACCAAAAGACAAAGCAAAGACAAACCCTAAACTTCACAGGCTAAACAGTTTAGCAGTATTGGCAGCAATCGAATGAATTTAATAAGAAATCTAAGTGAAATGGTTAATCTATTATTGAAATTACCAGTAAACTTATCATCAATCTCAATATGAAAAACCTAAAATAATGCAAAAATTTCAAAATAAAAATAAAAAAACTAACCCTCGGAGGTTGATTTTCCATTTCTGAATGATTGTGAGGGATTTTTGACTGTGAATGGTTGTGAGGGATTTCGCCGGCGATGGGGACGGAAATCTTCGGAGATGGGGACGGATTTCGCCGTAGAGAGTGAGAGATAGAGATGGGACTGAGTGTTGTGTTTTTGGGTTTGAGGTTATGAGTTGCGATTACTGTGGACGGTTCATTTTCCGATTTATTAAGAAAAAATACGTGTTTGGAATTTGAAAAAAAAAATACGCGTTAATACGAATGGCGCTATGTAAATCGCGTTGCGAAAGTCAGTATCGCGTTGCGAAAGTAAGTATCTCGTTGCGATTTTTTATTATCGCATTGCGATTTTCCCAATTCGCGTTGCGATTTACTTATTCGCATTGCGATTTTCCCAATTCGCGTTGCGATTTACTTATTCGCATTGCGAATTGGGAAAATCGCAACGATACTGTAGACCATCGCAACGCGATTTTCAACTATCGCATTGCGAAAATGCAACGCGAATTTGCGATAATGGAGATCGCGTTGCGAATTAGCGATCGCATTGCGATTTTGTTGGTCATTTTGGCAAATCCGGAAAAAGTTGGTTAAAATCGTATATTATATGGGATTTTTGGTCACTGAGGTTATTTTCTCTTCCTTAAATGGGAGTTAACGGCCTAGATAGTAAAACTGAACGGACTGATAATATAAGGGATGACATCCGCTCTTTATTTTAACCGGTGATCAAAATCGAATATATCGAATATATAAAAGATCACCCGTATAGTTTATCCTAAATAATATAGATATAAAAAATATTATTCTCTTAGTCCTATTAAATGTATCCCTTTTAGTTTTTAAAATTGCCTAAGTCATAAAAACAATAACATATATATTTTCTTTTTCATCCATGTATATCTCATTCTTTTACTCTTATCAAAATAAATTTATCAAATCTATTAATATTTTTAGGGATAATTCTGTAATTTTCCTTAATCAAATATATCTTCTAAAATTATATGTTAGTTAATATAAAATACAAATCATGAAACGGAGGAAATATTATATCTAACAAAATATTCATAAATATAATCACATATATCAAACATCAAATATCAGTTTAGATTTTATGGATTCCTCCTCCTATACAACATCATGATTTTCTAATAAATTCATCGGTTCTCACTTCTGGAACTTCAGGTTCAGCTAATCTTTACTTATTTCCTTTCTTTTTAATTTGATTATATTTTTTTATGCCTGTTAAATTGCTTATTTCTTACTAAAAATGAAGGATGAAATGCTTGGCTTAGCCGCCGATCCTTATGCCTATCCACTCTTCAAAAGTATGAGTATAAACATGAATGTTCTCTACCGTACAGGTGAAACGCATCAGGTGCAACTTTGACCAATTGCTGACAATATTATTATTATTATTGTTGTTGTAGTTGTTCTCAGTCAATAATATTATATTCATTGATATTAGAAAACTCATGTAAACAGATCATCTCTGATGCAATAAGCTCCAAACAATAGAAACAAGAAGAGCTTCTGATATTATTATTCCAAGACTTCCACGGATTTAGTTTTAGAACACTTCAATGTAGTTAATACGTTGTTGCTTTTTGTGGATATGAAGTTGTTTATGATGCTTTATATGTGCAGGGGACTATTACATATACTCCTCTTCTTCTCTCGATTGACTTTCAAGGTGCAAATTTTTACTTGCAAAGTTGATGTCTGCTCCATCCAATCCATATTGTTAAGTTTTAAGCTTATTTCTACTTATTCTTTTAGATCTAACCATAATTGGTTCCTTTTCATTCATCTAGTTTGGATGAGACAGTGATGTCGATTTGTGTCTACTTCACATATGTTTTACACATAGGAACTTCAATATATTGTAGGATCCCTTGGATCAGTGAGTTCAAAGGGAACACTTTATAGCGAGAATTCTAATGCATCATCAGAAGTTGTTACTTGGTGAGATTTTCCATCTCAACTAATTGCATTAGTTTTATAATGTACATTTTTCTTTTGTTTTCCATCGTCTTTTGAGCACTACCCCTTAAAAAATAAATAAAAGTAGCAGTAATAGTATGCTGTTTTTCCCTTTTCAATGACATTTAGATGGTTGAGTGTTGAAGTTCAATACCTAGCAGAAGCTGATTTTTTACTGATCATTCTTGTTCTAATTCATAAATATTTACTGTTTTTCTCTATGAAGAGTGCTTTCCTTGCAATATAATAAACATAATGTTGTCAGCCTCATTTTTACTAATATAAGTAATTCTTTTTTAATAAAAAAGGAAAATGCTTTTGATTTTCAATACTACTTATGGTATATGGTTAAGACTTAAGTTTTGGAACTCTTAAAGAAATATTGTTATAAATGCAAATGGACTCCTGTTTTATTGCAGCACTATTTTACCACAAGTTTGTAATGAATTACATAAAATTCACTGTTATAAATCTTCTGAATTTCAGGGCTATGTGCTTTGTACTTGTGTGAGCTTTGGGTGCATAAGATTTATAAATTATTTAACTTGAGCGTCTTTAAAAGAACTTGCAGGGTGGGAAATGTTTCTACTCATGCATCTGAACCTAGGAAGAGGAATTTATTCTTGCAAAGCTTGTATCAGGAAGAGCAGGATGCCCCTTTGATGAATGGTATCCATGGTGGGCAAAGGCTTCTCAAAATGAAATTTAGGATACAGATATAGTCAGTTCTTTAGATAAAGGAGTTCAATTTTGGAAAGACTTCTCAAAAGTCCACTATCATCCTCAGAGTTTGTACGAAATAAATAGGTTGTGGATGGATGCTCAAGAATTTAATTATGGAAGTGGACGGGATGTCTTCATGGAGAATTTACGAGGAGAAGAAATATGTGACAGGCTTCGGTTCTTCACAGAAGAGTGTGATCATATCCAGGTAAAACTGACCTATATAGTATGATCCTTTGCTGAAATCTCTCGGCAATATCAAAACCTGTAAGTGGACAGCATTTAGGACACTTGTTTGTCAACTTCATATGGATGCTGATGGTCTTGCTCAATGAACTTTTCTAGAGGTTTTAATTTAATGATGCGTTGGATAATCTGGTTAGGAAAGCTCTCCGCATTTCACTTTTAATTTTAAGCTTGAGCACCACATAAACATGATTTATATTCGGATTTAATGTTGCTAGTTTAATTTGTTTGTCAATTATTGGTGATGTCATTAGGGTTTTCAATTCATTGTTGATGATTCGGGAGGTTTCTCCCCACTAGCTGCCGATTTTTTGGAAAGTGTTTCTGATGAATACATGAACACTCCAGAGTCGCTATATGCTGTTAGGGGTCCTAATTCTCATATGAACCTGAGTAGCAGGAAGCAGAAAGTTGTAAGAGATCTTCATGATGCTGTATCTTTCTCAAGATTATCATGTTTCTGTAAACTGATTGTGCCCGTTGGTATACCCTTCTTGAGTAGGAGTAAGTCAAATTATGATTTTGGCTGCCTTCTATATTATTCTTGTATTTGTTTCATATGATTTTACATGGTTTCAAATTGTGTTTGTTTCATAACAAGAATTTTCTTGGTACATATGTACATACAGTTTCATTCCTCTTCATACAAAATATCGTATAATGTTCAGAATCAGCTATCAGCTGAGTCATATTTTGTCAAAAATGCATGTAACATGTTAATTATTTTATTTATGCCGATAGCCTGTTAGCCTGATACCCTTCAATGAAATTGTCCTGGCTTTATCTTTTTAAATAGACTAAAGATTCTGCACGCCGAAATTTGAAGGTAAAGCTTCAACTTTTCCCAACATTAAAGATGAGAGTCCCTACCGCTGCAGCGCTGTATATGCTGCAGCTCTACATTCTACTAGTCTCCCATTCCGCATGGAGGCACCTGGTCCTACTGCCGATTCATCTGATGTCTGTGGTGCTGTCGATGTTAATGGCATTGTACAAATGCTAGCAGGACAATCTAGGCAGAATATGTTGGCCATTCTGGATGTTGAAATGCCAGGCCCCAGTTTGACAGGTACCACGTGAAGTCCTTTCCCTCTCGATCCATGACAAAAACGGTTTTTCAGTTCATGCTCCTTTTTAGTAAAGAATGAGTAATTGCTGAGGAAAACCAAATTGTGTGGTTTGATTGTACCAAATTCTGAATTCCAGGGAGACAGAATGAGCAATCTTTGCTTGCAAATCTGCAGACATTGACTCCAGAGGATGTGGATGATTGGCAGGCTGTGGAATCAATGAATGTGCATGGAGCAATTGGGCCAGGTACTGTTTTAAGGATATGTGTATATTTACAGATACAGTGTATTATTATAATTATGTTATCCCTTGAATATGCTAAGAAGCACTAGGCACATTACAACGAACATTTTAGAAATCCTTGTTCATTAAATGCTTTAACACTCAAATTGGCTTACGTAATCAGCAAGGTAACCTTGCAGAAGTGGGGATACATACTTTAAAGTTTCAACACCTTAGCAGGATAGGGTTTTTAGTGACGAATCATTTCTTGACGTGGATAATAAATCATCCATTAGGGGAGAGGCTTGTGTCAGTTTGAAAATATTGTGATTTTTATCAGTAATTTTCTCAATTCTGAAGTGGCATTGGCAGCCGTGTTAATCGAGATTATTTATTTCTTTGCTGGAGGTCGTACCGCTTCAGTTTCTGAAGTTAAGAATGCAATACATGGTGCCTATGGATGTGCAACCTCTACGCTAATGTTCTGCCATCTATCAGTGGCTCAATGCCCTCTTCCAATTCCCTTGCCATTCCCTTCAATCTTTGGTAATCTTGTTGGCCAACATGGTGAGCTGCTTGGAAGTCCAATCTTAGGTTCAGCACCAAGAGGATCACTCGATGTTCACTCCATTCCCATGACCACTAGAATGCGATCCAGCTCTGCTATCCTTCCATTTCTGGAGAACAGACTGGGGAGTCTACGTAAATTTGGTATCGAGCGAGGATGTCCCGGAACAGAGTTGCTTAGAAGTTGGGGATTTGGAAAGGATGAAGTGGAAGACATTGGTAAGACATTGTCCAACATGGTTAGGATAGTCAACCCTCATTCTGAAATATCATCCGATTTAGATTCAGATTAAGTTAATCATGGATGACTGTTTTTCATGGTATATGCTGTATTTCGCCGACATCTCTGACCAGTTACATGCATGTTTTAGCTAAAATTCTGAGAGAATTTTGCTTACAGTGGGGTGGGCTTGTGATGGAATTTTTTTATATACCTGGTAATGAAGAAGGGAAGATAAAAGTGTGCTTCTTGCTTGGGGTTAAAAAAAGAGAATACAAGGAAAATTATATCATCTTAATTTTTGGTAAAATTTTACCCAATATTATTCATATATCATTTTTTCCCTTTAAAAAGGGTAAATTACCTATTTAGTCATACATTTATCACTTTGGTTTAGTTTTGATCATTCAACTATTTTTAAAACAAATATACCTAACATTATATTTATTTTTATTTTGGTCATCTGTCGTTAATTATAGATATGGTACTTTTTTTTATTTTTACGTCATTAATAGTTATTCTTTTTATTTATCTAATAAAGTGGTGAAACATGTCACCACATTTTAAAAAAATTACAAAAGGTCTCAATGCTGGAAAGGAAATTGATCCCAATCCCCTCTCCTAGGAGAGAGCAAGCACCTAACTATACATTATATTGTGCCACACCATCTATTTAATAATAATTAACTGCAGTTGAAAGTGAGATGCCTATTTCATAACAATACTCAAAATCTAACTTTTTTTAAAATTTAACATCCAAAAAGATTATTTTAAAAGAGTTCTCGTGACATCTTCAAACTTTATCCTAAAATAATTACAGGGTCTACAAGGGGAGTATTACCAGTAAAATCCAATGTTGATGGTCTAACAGATTCATTTGCACAGAACATCCTTTGTGAGTCATGGATCGATTCTTGTGGAATACAGAAGGCTTGATTAGATAAACATGTGTTCATATATTACAAGAAATACAATAGTAAAAAACCAGTGTGTACTTTAAAATGGATTTAAAAAGGAGAGAAAAGTGGTCAAGCTGAAATATACATACGACAACTTTATTATTTTATACACGAAACTTAAAAAAGACAAATATAAGTAGCTGCTATTATTTTTCATAAATTTTAAAACAAAATCAAACATCAGATGGAATCATAGTATACAATTCGAACCACGTAACAGAACAAAACAATAAAATAAAGTAATATAGACTAAACGACTTTGATGGTTAAGGAATTCATTATTATCCATAGAGTTCTAAGTTCTCAAAATATTAAGAGTTTTTTAACAGATACTATCATATATTAATCCCAAATTTGTAAATAAAATATAATAATAATAAGTATTTTTAATAATATAATAATAAGTCATTAAATACAAATGACAAGAAAGAAAAAACTTCATTTACATTTGCATCAGCAGGTTGCCGTGAAAACAACTTTAGGACCCAACAAAACATTTTCCGAAATCTATTTTCCGAAAAACAAACATACCCTAAATACAATATTAACCCTTATTCTCTCATATTTCTTTTACGATCTACTCCCATTACTTCTCTTCACATTTGTAAAACCGACTCATTAGTTATGAAAATCGTATTTGTAAATAATGATTAAAAATGCATTTTGAAAAATAATAAATACAAAGAATCCGAGCCCGTCGAAATTGAAAATATATGAGACCTTAAATGGGCAACTCAACTCCCCTCTTTAAAGTCTCTAGTTCAGCAAACAAAACCTGGTTAGACAAGTCAAACCCCACAAAGTTGCTTAGAATTACTGCATTTACTTCTGTTTTTCTTTTCTTTTTCTTTCCATTCTTCAATCAGAATATTTTCCCAACTCGTATAGCATGAATTTTCTACATCACAATATCAACAAAACAGGGAATTAATAATGAAAAATAAAAATTGCACAACAGTCTTCTTCAAAACAATTTTCTACAGATTTACAATTCATCTTTCTCTCGTATGTGTGATTACACGGGTACCCGCTTGCCCTGGTTTCGGTCTAACCACTGCACCATGAAAAAAGGAGGGAAAATATTTGATCAATCATTTCCTCAAAGAAACACCTTCAATAGTAGATTAAAAGAGGAGTCACATATGAACTGTGATTCAAGCCATATGACTCGGAACTTAGCAACTCAGGTATCAGATACATACAAAAGAAAATTATATTCATGTCATCCCACAAGATTTTCACATGAAAGATATAATGATCCATCAACTAATTCACCGACGAACACAACAAACTTTAAGTCCACTCAGAGAAAAAAAATGGCATCTATTATAGAAAGAGAGGGCAGGCAGCTGTCTGTAAAGAAATATTACTTTCATGCAGTCATTGCCAATTAAACTGCATATTGTGTAAAAGGCTTTAACTTGTTAGTCTATATCAGCAGCTCCATTTGGTTGGTGCCAGAAAAGTCTTTCTAAAAAACTTAGGATCTATATTTGTATAACTGAAATAAGATGCTGCACTGGAAAGTTCCTTTTATGCTGCAGGCTTCTAATCATAAAAGTTGCAATGATTATAAATATCAACTCTCTTTTCAACGTTTTACTATCATTTTTCCATGAAAAGTTCTTACATGCACGCATGAAATGCTCTATCCAAGAAAAAGCCAAAAGTTGAGAAATAAAAAGAGTAAATTTGGGTTTCAGCCACAATCTAAACTGTCTTTATCCATCTATATGTTCCTTTTGATCATCCCTGACAATAAGCTGATTAATATTTTCACATTAAAGATGCACTCTTATGAATAAAACAGCACAAAAATATATACAAACAAATATAGGCATGGATAATGTTATGATTACGAGAAACCTAGAAACTGCAAAATTAGCAACTGCATAAGTACCAAGGGGACTGGGTTATTTTGACAACCACCACAATAGATAGATTCACTGGTTTCTTAGGGCCGAAGAGACACTAGGCAATAATACCCTACATACCTCAATTAAAGGCTTCTTAAATAAGGTCATGTATTTAAGTTTACCCAAAATAGAAAAAGAAAAGAATCTAGTTTATTTAGTGAGCACAGATTTTACGCCATGCAAACAACCAACCAAGAACTGACAAGATAACAGAATACAAGCATGCAATTCCAGCATACAGTTTATAAAGGAAATTTAATTGACTTTCAAACTAAACATACCGATCGGATATATGATTGCTGGAAAAGCCAACCAAGAATAGGTATCCTCTGTATAAACAATGCCAATGTTGGCCAAAAGCCACTGCAAAAAGAACGGAAAAAAAGGACGGTAAATGACAAGTTCAAAAATTAAGAGAAGCCAAGGGTTTGTAACAACTCAAGATAATGAAATTTTCGTTTAGACCTGAAGAGCACAATAAATCCATATGCCTCCAATATCATGCCAAGGATGGGCCATCCAAGGACAACAAAAAAGAAGCCAACCAAAAATGAAATTGTTCCCTGAACTCAATAGCAACAGATAATACAGAAATGGGCAATGAATACATAATGTGTGCGTGCGTGCGTTAGAGAGAGAGAGAGAGAGAGAGAAACCTTAAAATTTTGGCGCTTCATGAAAAATTGCATGGTGGATTTCAGACCGATGGTTAAGGACACTCCTGATATGAAAAGGATCTATTTTTTTTAAAAAAAGGTGTTATTCAAGCGTGATTCAAGGGGAAAATGAAAACACTTGGAATAGAGGTTAGTTAGCTTACATTTCCCATGGCAAGCAACCCCTTGTCAAAAAAGAAGATAATTCCAAAAAATGAGAACAATACGCCAAATCCAGTTAATCCTAGCCCAATTTCTGTTTTGCATGACATCATATATTAGTACAATGAAAGTTAATAGAATAAAGTGAACAAAAATGTTGTTCATTCAACTTTTTTTTTCTCAAAATATCAATGACAAACTAAGTCACAACTCACAAGTCTCCATGTGAATCAAAAGTAAGAGCACCAAATCACTTCTACTCGCTTCCAAGCATTTTCAATCTCAAGAATCCATGTAACTAAACATATACTTTGTTCAGCAAACAGGTTTAGTTTAAACTAAAAGATTAGATTTCCAGAGAACCAGAGTAACTAAAGAGTCTATAGTTCAATACCCATATAACTGAGGTGTTGGTAAAAGTTTTAATTACCAGAAATCATCTCATATACTATTTACATATTATAAGATCATTCCAAAATACTCCTAGGAAAGTTTAATAATCCTAAAGTCTTTTATTAACATTTCCTATACAAAACCATACCCAAATACTAGAGGGTTTATCACTTTGCATTCCTTTAATAAAAAGAATCACTCTGTATTCCTTAAACAATATCATTATATGCAAGTATGCACCACCAAGCAAGCATGGAGCACAAACTTCACCAACAATAAGGTGAATACAAAATTAAAGCGAATAATTGGAACTGCATTCTATTGAAATACCACATTTGATGAAAGAATGAGAGTATTAAAACTTAGCCAATGAAGATGGGTGCATATCAACTAAAAATCTTCAACTATATAAGTAAATCGAATGTGGGATGAAATTGCCTGCTAGAAAAATTATATTCATATTTTGCTAGCATTTATTCTTATAACCTGTACATGTTTGCTACTTAATAAAACTCCCCACAAGTCTAAATAACTCTGCACAAGTTACCGTAATATTGATTTGAAAAATAAATAACATTCTACTGCCTTTGGCAAGCATCTCACAAACCGGCCACTTGACTTTATCAAACATATATCAAAGTTCATAAAAATAAATTAACCCCTCAAATCATTCCCAAATTGCCTCAATGTAAAATAAAATGAATAATTGAAAGAATTTTCCCACTAAGAAGCAGTTATAAGCATGTACATGCATAATAACCTAGAAGTCAGTAGAGTGCATATAATACCCAAATCTTGCTATATGTATTTCACTAGAATTTCAAGGGATCATATATTGAATCTATATTAAATACCGAATAACCAACAAGCAAAAGCCATCACGAATTCATAGAAGCACTAATTGAGTGGAAGAAGCATCAAAGTTTTTTAAAAAAAAAAAATCAACGCAAGAGCTTTACTCTTTCGATCGTTCATTTCAAAGGAAACCATTGTGCTGATTATTCAGATGCCTGCTGCCTACAGAGAGAAAATATTGAATCAGACTCAAACCATAACAATGAATTTGTGTGAGAATATACAAAAGAGAAAACAGAATCTAATAATCAAAATAAGAATCTAAAAGAACATAGCGTGGGAAAAAAATTTGAATCCGAAAGTTCCGTTTTCTTCACCGGAAGGGATAAAAGGGAGCTCTGGTCCGTACGTTTTCTCGGTAATCGAGGCGGAGAGACGAGAATTGAGAGAGCGAGATGTCTTTGTATCGTTTGGAAATGAAAGGGTAAACTACACACAATGGTCACTAAACTTTGGGTAAGTTTTCATGTTTCCTCATTAAACTTTTAAAAGTTAAAAATAAGTCACTAATGTTATCGATTTGTAATAAAATGACTAGTCGATGTATTGTTAATGTGGATGACGGAAAGCTGAGCTAGACCGTTAATAGTTTATCCGACTCGTTGATCGCTTAATAATGGTCAAACCAGAACCCATTCTTTTTCATCCTTGCTCGCCGTTGTAAACCGCTTTTTTCTTCGTCCTTTAGAAATCCAAACTCTTATCGGAATCTATTTATCTAAATTTCATTCATTTTAAGTGGGGACTTGTACACATTTATTGATAATAGTCATCTGCAACTCGCCACTACCTCTTCGATTCCCTCTCTTGAATCTCATGAATTTCGCTATCGAATTGCAATTCAAAAACTGCTCCGGTGACTCATTTTCAACCGTCGAGGAACAACCCAAAAGCTTCAACGATGGGTATTTGAGAGTCTTTGAGAATTTGCGATTGAGTCTTTAAAGCTTAAATGTTACATGTGTTGACTATGCACCGAAAGTGTGCATAATAAATGCAACTTTTGATGCTGCTTGAAAAAAAAAGGGCAACAGCTATTGTTGAATTTTCAGCAATGGTAAAATCTCATTTTTAGCCATTGTAATTTAGGGTATTTACAAATTAGTCCTTAAAAATTCAACTATAAATACCCTAGCTCATTTAGCTTCAAAATCATCCCAAAAGATTCTAGCTTTCTTCCAATACTAGAGAGAATTTAGATATTTTCTTGAGAGTTGTTTTCTTCTTTTTATCAAGAGAGAATTATCATTGTTTTCTCCTTGGTCGATCGAGAGAAGTTGTAATTCCTATTTTCTCATAGTGAAATTCTTCTACCGTTGCTCGTGATTTTTACCCTATATTATTTAGGGGTTTTCTACGTAAATTTTGTCTCTTTTATCTTCATTTTTATTTTCTCAAATTATCAGTTGCGATTTTGCTCTATCCGATAACTGTCTTCCGCAACAATTGGTATCAGATCCAAATTAGAGTGTGTAATATCTGCTTATTGTCTTTGTGGTTGCCACCAAAAGGTGGATCCTCCAACATAAGAAAGTAAGAAGTTATTACACATTCTTTGAAGGTTCCAGAGAACTATTCACGATAGTGAAATAGTGGGAGCTATCTGTAAAAGAAGCTATGGCAATGAAATTTGATATTGAAAAATTCAATGGGAGAAATTTCTCATTGTGGAAATTGAAGATGAAGGCCATCCTGAGGAAAGACGGTTGTCTAGCAGCTATCAGTGAAAGGCCGATGGATTTCACATATGACAACAAATGGACGAGAATGCTATGACAAACTTTCATCTAGCATTAGCAGATGAAGTATTGTCAAGTATCGAGGAGAATAAGACAGCTAAGGAGATATGAGATCATCTCACCAAATTGTACGAGGCTACATCGCTGCACAATAAAATTTTCCTTAAGAGGAAATTGTACACTCTCCGTATGTCATGATCTACTTCAGTGACGGAGCACTTAAACACACTGAACACGTTATTTTCTCAGCTTACATCCTTAAGATGTACAATAGGAGAACAAGAACGTGCTGAACTTCTACTTCAAAGTCTACCTGATTCGTATGATCAACTCATCATCAACTTGACAAACAGTAATGTCACCAGTCTAGTCTTCGATGACGTTGCAGCTGCTGTTCTCCAAGAAGAAAATCGACGCAAGAACAAGGAAGACAGACAAGTAAATCTGCAACAAGCAGAAGCGTTGACAACGATGAGAGGGAGATCAACAGAACGTGGCCAAAGCGGCAGTCACAAACATGGTAGATCGAAGTCGAGAAGCAAGAAGAATTTAAAGTGCTACAACTGTGGAAAGAATGGTCACTTGAAGAAGGATTGTTGGAGTCTAAATAAAAACTCCAATCCACAAGGCAATACCGCAAACACTTCAGAAGATGGAAATGCTCTATGCTGTGAAGCGTCAACCACCGTGGAAGGTAGAAAGAGATATACAGATATATGGCTCATTGATTCGGGAGTAACATATCACATGACCTCAAGAAGATACGGGTTCTATCATTATGAATCTGTCTCAAGAGGATCTGTGTATAGTTACAATGATCATGCCTTAGAGATCGTTGGCGTGGGAACCATCAAATTGAAGATGTATGATGGAACAATTAAAGTTGTTCGAGATGTGCGGCACGTGAAAGGCCTGAAGAAAAATTTATTATCATACGGATTGTTGGATAATAATGCAAGCAAGATTGAAACACGGAAAGGAATCATGAAGGTGTTCCGTGGAGCGCTTGTGGTGGTGAAAGGCGAAAAGATAGCTACTAACTTGTACATGCTGAAGGGAGAGACTTTGCTAGAAGCAGAAGCCTCTGTTACCTCATGTAGTTTAGATTCTGCAATGTTGTGGCATCAGAAACTTGGACACATGTCGGAACAAGGAATGAAAATCCTTGTGGAGCAAAAGCTACTTTCAGGCTTAACAAAGGTAACACTTCCTTTATGTGAGCATTGCATAACAAGTAAGCAACACCGGTTGAAATTCAACACGTCAAATTCTAGAGCCAAAAGTGTTCTAGAATTGGTTTACTCTGATGTATGTCAAGCACCAATTACATCCCTAGGCGGAGAAAAATACTTTGTCTCATTTATTGATGACTACTCCAGGAGATGTTGGGTGTATCCTATTAAGAAGAAGTCAGATGTATTTTCAACTTTCAAAAACTTCAAGGCGCGGGTGGAACTTGATTCTGGAAATAAGATCAAGTGTTTCAGAACTGATAATGGAGGAGAATACACAAGCGAAGAATTTGATGACTTTTGTAGGAAATGAAAGAAGGCATCAAAAGACAGTTCACAGTGGCAAACACTCCTCAACAAAATGGAGTGGCAGAGCGGATGAATAGAACCTTGTTAGAAATAACAAGAGCAATGTTGAGGAATGCATGCCTAGAAAATCATTCTGGGCAGAAGCAGTCAATACCGCCTGTTATTTGGTGAATCGAGCTCCATCAACTGCAATAGATCTGAAGACACCAATGGAGATATAGACTGGTAAACCAGCTGATTATTCAAACCTCTATGTATTTGGAAGTATTGCGTACGTGATGTACAACTCCCAAGAAATCTCAAAGCTGGATCCAAAATCCAGGAAATGCAAATTCTTGGGATATGCTGATGGAGTCAAGGGGTATCGCTTGTGGGATCCCACTGCCCGCAAAGTGATCATCAACAGGGATGTTATCTTTGTAGAAGATAAACTACAAAGAAAAGAAGATGATGATAGCACTGAAAAGTCAGAGACTAAACAGATACATGTGGAAAAAGAGGTTGAAGAAGGAGATTCTTCTGAAGCAGAACCAGCACATGATGAACAAGAATCAGAGAGTTCTGAAGCTCCAACAACTCGTCAATCAGATCGTGTGAGAAGACGTCCCAATTGGCACTCAGATTATGTTATAGAAGGAAATATTGCATACTATCTTTTAACAGAGAACAGTGAGCCATCAACATACGAGGAGGCAATAAACAGCTCAGATGCTTTACTGTAGATGATGGCGATGCAAGAAGAAATTGAAGCCCTTCATAAAAATAATACATGGGACCTTGTTCCACTACCACAAGGAAGGAAGCCAATTGGTAACAAATGGGTCTTCAAAATCAAGCGAAATGGTGACGATCAAGTTGAGAGGTATCGTGCAAGACTGGTGTTCAAAGGATATGCTCAAAAAGAAGGTATTGATTTTAATGAAATTTTTTCTCCTGTGGTTCGACTAACAACAGTTTGAGTAGTCTTGGAAATGTGTGCTATATTGAATTTACATCTAGAGCAGTTAGATGTTAAAACAACTTTTCTTCATGGAAATCTTGAAGAAGAGATTTATATGCTTCAGCCTGAAGGCTTTGAAGAAGAAGAAAAGAAGAACTTGGTTTGCAGGTTGAACAAATCTCTGTTCGGTCTAAAGTAGGCGTCGAGGTGTTGGTATAAGAGATTTGATTCCTTCATTATGTGCCTTGGATACAATAGACTTAATGCAGATCCTTGTGCTTATTTCAAGAGGTCTGGTGATAACGATTTTGTTATATTGTTGTTGTATGTGGATGATATGTTGGTTGCAGGACCCAACAAAGATCATATTGAAGAATTGAAGGCACAACTGGCTAGGGAATTTGAAATTAAGGACTTGGGATCAACAAACAAGATTCTAGGGATGCAAATTCACCGAGACAGAAGTAATAGGAAGATTTGGCTTTCACAAAAGAATTACTTGAAGAAGATCTTGTCACGATTCAACATGCAAGATTGTAAGCCAATTTTTACCCCTCTTCCTATTAACTTCAAATTATCTTCTAGTATGAGTCCTAGCAGTGAAGAAGAGAGGATGGAGATGTCTCGAGTACCGTATGCATCAGCAGTGGGAAGTTTAATGTTCGCTATGATATGCACAAGACCAGACATTGCACAAGCAGTGGGAGTGGTTAGTCGGTACATGGCGAATCCAGGCAAAGAGTATTGTAATACAGTAAAGAGGATCCTTAGATATGTCAAAGGGACTTCAAATGTTGCATTATGTTACGGAGGATCAAACTTACTAATCAATGGTTATGTAGATTCTGACTATGCAGGGGATTTGGATAAAAGCAAATCTACTACATGATATGTGTTCAAAATTGCTGGTGGAGTTGTAAGCTGGGTTTCAAAATTGCAGTCAGTTGTGGCTACGTCCACAACAGAGGCAGAATATATAGCAGTTACACAAGCTAGTAAATGAGCAATTTGGTTGAAGATGCTATTGGAGGAGCTTGGGCATAATCAAGAGCATGTTTCTCTGTTTTGTGACAGTCAAAACACCTTGCATCTAGCAAGGAATCCAACATTTCATTCAAGGACAAAGCACATACGAGTTCAGACCATTTCATTCGTGAAAAGGTGGAAGAAGGGACGGTAGATATGCAGAAGATCCATACCAAAGACAACATAGCAGATTTCATGACGAATGCAATCAACACTGATAAATTTACTTGGTGTCGATCCTCTTGTGGCCTTTCAGAGATGTAAACAACATGATGGTACAAGGTAGAAAGAATGGTGTGAAGATATGATTGTTTCAATCAAATCTTCAAGTGGGAGATTGTTGACTATGCACCGAAAGTGTGCATAATAAATGCAACTTTCGGTGCTGCTTGAAAAAAAAGGGGCAGCAGCTATTGTTGAATTTTCAGCAATGGTAAAATCTCTTTTTTAGCCATTGTAATTTAGGGTATTTACAAATTAGTCCTTAAAACTTCAACTAGCTCATTTAGCTTCAAAATCATCCCAAAGCATTCTAGCTTTCTTCTAATACTAGAGAGAATTTAGAGATATTTTTTAGAGTTGTTTTCTCCTTTTTATCAAGAGAGAATTATCATTGTTTTCTCCTTGGTCAATCGAGAGAAGTTGTAATTCCTATTTTCTCATAGTGAAATTCTTCTACCGTTGCCTGTGGTTTTTACCCTATATTGTGTCTTTTTTATCTTCATTTTTATTTTCTCAAATTATCAATTGCGATTTTGCTCTATCCGATAGCCGTCTTCCGCAACAACATGTGGCCGAAAAGAAGTTGAACTAGGATATGAACCATGGTTTAAAGTCGAAGGAAATGAAGAAATAGATAAGTGAGAGAGAATATACCTTTAAAGAGTAGATACTAGTATTACATACATCAAGAGATGCAGGAAATGAGATTTATTATTGCATCGTTAAAACAATATTCATAGATACGTGTGAGTTGATCAATATTTACAACAAAAAGAATGAATTAATGCAAGCAAACTGAAATAGAAGTTCCATAAGCAACATGACAAACATAGCCCCATCATTAGCTTCCTAGTTTTCAGCAGCACTTGCAACCTACAAATATACTTTAGAAGAAGATTAAATCAAACATTTTAAGCTTTGGTTCGATGAGATCCCATGATGTTCACTGTAGAATGATAATATATATATATATTCATTGTGTGAGAAGTCGAATGTTGCTTCTAGATCTTCCAACGTTATAGTGCGCAGTTCATCGGCATCTATACAGTTGAAACTAAGCCAAAGATCAGGGTTCTCCCTAGCGTTAACTAACATCGGATCGACTAAACTTCTGTTCATCACCTTGCGCTATCTTTCTATTATTGTTTCTCTCTCTGTTAGTCTTGCTATGGCATCTAAATTGCATAAACTATGCAACTTAAATCCATACAATAAATTCAGCTCTGCTTGATTATTCATCATGATACGAACATAATTTATACCAACACAGTTACGTTCGCCACCAATCTGACCGCTAGTCTTTACAATAGTTGGTATTTATACCAACTGGGTTTTGGAAAAACCAATAGGCGTGACCCTAGGCTTTTTAGCGTTCACGACATTTCCGCCAACTTCAACTAGTGGTTAAATTAGTCCCCATGTTGCTAATTTGGTAAACAGATTCTAAATTCATTCAATTGAGTCCTTAACAATTCTGATTTCAACTCAATTGAAGGCTCTAACTTTATAATATTAACAAGTAAGTCCTCCAAAATTAAAACTACACCTTAAAATAGCAAAATTTATTTTTCAAAACTTTTAATTCCGAAATCAGGGTGTGATACAATCATTTTGTAAGAAGATATCCTTATCGAGAAATATCAAAATCCATATGAGATATCACCGCAAGTCAACTGATGACATATTAGTTAAAATTCAGCTAAAGTGCAGGGGTGTAATGACATATTACATCTATCAACAACAAACAAGCATTCACATATCTAATAATTTTAAACAAATATTCATGTTTGTGAAGATTTTGACAATAGATGATGATGTTATAGGATTGAAGCCATGTAATTACATAAATTTCGCCTCTTTCCCCAAAAAAATAATTATAGAGTAATTGAGGGATTCCAACTATATTTAATTTAATAGAATTCAAATTTGTTGATTGACTAAATACACCACACAACATAATTATTCGAAAGTACACTAAAATTCAATTAATGAATAGTTTGCCAAATCACATTGAATGTCAATTGCACCTAAAAAATATATGACTAGTAAAAATAATCACGACCATTATGTGTTATTAAAGCAAATATTGGATGGATTTAATGTTGTGTTAGGAAGTAAATAAGTCAACCTTGTAAATATTAGTGGTTTTTGGTTGAAGTGCAGACTTTGATTATCCAATTCATTACGTGTTGTTTTTCCTTCACCGCAAGTGTTGAGAAATCTGTTATTGGTCTTGCTGTAAACTTAATTTTCTTCACCAAATATCTTGATCATAAATTAATCTCAAGTCATGCGTCAGTTGCTAAATATGTTTCATCAAGAAATTGAGATGATTAGATATATATAAGTAGCTAGTTTTAGTAAAATAAAAAAATTTAAAATTACAATTAATGTTTAAGATCATAAATATAATTAAATATATAATAAGGATTTTTTATAATCATTGCCATAAGGAACTAGCCATTTGAGATTATACAAGGATAATGAAAATATTAAAAACTTATTCAAAAATTCGAACAAAATGTAGATACGAATAAATTTGACTACATTGGTAAGTCAACTACAACAAGACATGTAACTACTGAAAGACCACCGAAAATTACAAATTAGAGTCGAACTTCGTGAGAAAACCATCTTCAAACGTCAATTGTGTATCTAAATCCAATCTAATGGTCCAAAACATTATCACAAATCAATAGGATAACAAACAAGTGACATCTTGATCAGTCAAGGTGATATTAAATCTCATCATGAGAAAAATAAATGAAGAGAAGGACAAATGAAAAAGATCGAAAATGTCAAAAGACAAAAAAATATATATGTCATAAAGATAAAGAAAACATGTCATGGAAGACATAATTATTAAAAACTAAAAAAAAAGAGAAAAGTAAAGATGTGATATAGAAAAAAAAATACCAACGGTCGAGAATCAACAACAAAATTAACTTTGTTGCATGCCAACAAGATAGAGAAAAATGACAAATGATGCAAAGAAAAAAGTAGAACTGGTAAAAATTAAAAATAGATGATTATAGATAAATAAATATTATGATATTACAGGCGAGTTGGCCTATATTTTAATTTAATGAATGAACTTTAAAAATTCTATTAACTGGGATTAAAATACTTTTGGCTTAATATAATGGATGCTTCCATTTTGAAGTTTTCTTGGGGCGTAGGTAAATAATTAGTACAAGAATATATTTGAGGAAGTAAAGTCTCAGACTACTTAATCGTTATAAACAAAATAGTATATTATATGATTAATTACTACAAGTATGGTTTTCCATTTGGTTTAAGCCAACTAATTAGATAGTAACAAGAAGTGACAACCATTATTATTTTCTATAATTATATATTTTTATATTCATTATTTTAATTTATGTATATAGTAATTTCCCCCTTTTTGTATTTATAGATGGTTTTAAAACAACAATCCCACTATTATGGGGTTTTCTTTTAGCAGTAAAAAAGAGATTTTTATGATATTTGAAGATTCAAATTTAGGTCTCATTGAATGGTTTAACTATGTAGAAATTTGTCAAATAATTCATCCTTTATTGTTTATTTGATTTATGGTGTTAACCTTTCCCCTCTAATGAAGTTAAAAATAATTTAATAATGAAATTATGATCAAATATTAAGTAAATTATTTAGCTTAAAATATATAAATTTAAAAAAATTTCAACAAGGTTTGATTTATAAAATATTTAGATTTAAAGAGACTTAAATTACTAATGAATAAAAAAATTGTGAGGACAAGCCCCCCAACTCCTAGTGATAGTAAACTTTTAAATTCTCTTAATATTTTCTCTAGCAGTTTCATTTTTTTAAACGAAAACATCTAAATTTTACATCCATAAGATTACAATCATAGAATAAATTCATAAAATATATAAATACAATCCATGCATATATATAATTATAATCAAAATTGATCATTATAAAGTATAAATATATGAACTATAATCAAAATATATCTGAATTTTTATTAACTGATCAAAATATATCTGAAACTATACCATAATAATTATGAACACCTCTCATATTTGGTGAAACTTAAATCAATATAAATCTAAACTAAAAATCACATAAATGATATTTATACGTGATGAAATTCGATTTAGACCTAAAAGATTAAAGTTCTAAGATTTTAAAATCTTATCAATCCAACTAAAGTCTCATTGATAGAATAACAAAAATAAAAATATTTTTACTAAAATGAAAACAATATTTTATTTAACTTGTGATTAAAATAGAACAAGTAACCATAGGTGGAATGAATAATTGATTGGTCAATTCATTACTATTAAACAAATAAAGACTGTAAACACAAGTGATTAGTGGCTTCAAGTACACAAAGAATTGAAACAAAGCAATCCTGAAATTAAGGACAACGCCAACAACTCTTACACTTGCTCCTCTCAGTTTTTTTTTAAATGGTATGGGATGATAATAGTATAGTACACTTACAATTGCTCGTCCAACTCAGTTGGTAGAGCGCAAGGCTCTTAATTTTGTGGTCGTGGGATCGAGTTTCACGGTGGGCAATTCATAATTCTGACTGCCAGAGGTCTCCCACGGAAGTTGCTCTCAATCTGGCGTTGGAGGCAGCCTACTATCCTACCTCCCCCTTACCTCATTACACATGGGAATAGGGTCAGCTATTTTTTTTTATTTGTTAATCTTGATAACGCACATAAAATTTATAATCACAACTGTTCGAATCAAAATTACGTATGTATGTTTCGCCTATGAAGAAAAATAAGTAATTATGTTTTACGTTCTTCTGCTTAAGTTGTTAACCTCAACACAAAATATTTAATTATTAATTTCTGGTGTGCATTGCTAAATTACTTGTCTCATTCCTATAATTATAATGGTGGCGCTGTCTAACCCCATATGAGTGAACCTTAAGTTAAAATTCCAGCACATTTCTTTTCTAAGATAATTGGATTTTTTTTTCTTTTGTTACGAAGATAATTGAATTTTCGGACCATCATTCTTTGTCGGACTTTGGATGTTTGACCCAAACTTAGACGTCCACATGATCGAAGATCCAAAAACTATATTGGAACAAATAATTTAATTAAATTAATCAATAATTAATTGATTTGTTGAGATGAAAATATTATATCTCTCATTTTTGAGATTAAAAGGTTTGAATATTGACGCTGTAAATGTAACATTTGATATATAAATTAATCAATTAATAAATTAAATATCGATAATAAAGACAAATATAATTATACTTTTACAACAAATAAAGAGTGAGCAACAAGTGATGTTATCGCCAAAAGAAAAGGAGTGACATATAAGTGACCCAATTTTATACTCTAATTGACAAAAACATTGTCTCATATTTAATAAATCAATGGGGTGGGACCATCTGAGACCCTTACTCATTTTATGATGTTAATCATCTTCAACCATAGACCTTTCCAAAATTTACAGTAAAAGACATTTTCTCATACACCTTTCCACATTTACAAATCCCCCCTCTCTCGATATATATCTATGAGAAAAGGTGTCCCTTTAAATAGTAATCGAAACCCTCTTCATTGGAGTCGAAGGCTGATGAGCTGAGTTTTTAGACAAAAGGTGAGATGGGCCATCGCTGCTGCACCAAACAGAAGGTTAAAAGAGGTTTATGGTCCCCTGAGGAAGATGACAAGCTCATCCAACATATCGCTGCCAATGGCCATGGAAGTTGGAGTTCTGTGCCTAAACTTGCTGGTATATGTCGCTTAACAACTCTTCTCATGGAAATTTTAACATGTGAAAATGGTTGTCGTGCAACTTTTAGGTGTTTTTTGTATTGCAGGCTTGCAGCGGTGTGGGAAAAGCTGCAGGTTGAGATGGATAAACTACTTAAGGCCCGACCTGAAGAGGGGTTCCTTCACAGCTGATGAAGAACAAATAATCATCGATGTTCATAGAATTTTAGGCAATAGATGGGCTGAGATCGCCAAGCATCTTCCTGGAAGAACAGACAACGAGGTGAAGAACTTTTGGAACTCATGCATTAAGAAAAAGCTGCTCTCGCAAGGCTTGGACCCAAAAACACACAATCTACTCTCCTTACGTCAAAGAGCCTCTAATAAAGCTGCATGCAAATATTCATCATCTTCACAATCACAACAAACTTCCTTCACTGTTTCCAATATCAGTTCACAGGCTAGAGACACCAACAACACCATGGCAATGTTTATTCCTAGCTCCGAACCCCATAACCCTAATGCTGCTTTTGCTCAGGAATCCACCATATACCCTTATTGCTCATCCTTTGATACCACAATTGTTCCTTCTTCTCCTCCCTTGACTCAATTACATGGTCTCGGTAACATGTTGTATGAAAACACTTGCATTTGGGATGACGCCATTGTTGAAACGTTTGAAGAACCTAGAGTTGAAGACCTACAACAACAGAAGCAACAAGAGAAGAAGATTGGCGAGATAACAAACGACAAATTTGATATGGATGCTTCATTGGAAATCGAGGGTGGTAGCTTTGACCTGGGCCTTCTTGAGTCCACACTCATGTCTGCAGCAATGTATAGTGATTTGAGTTCCGTGGACGATTTCGGATGGAACTTTTAGGATTACTTATGTGCATATTATTAAATACCCTTGCATCTTTACAAGTTTATTCATTCCAAAAATTTAATGCAACGGTTTTACTAAGGTTTATGAATTTTATTGGATTACTTGCCGTCATTTTGCTTTTCATCTATATCATATTGTGTGCATATATAGTTTTGATAAGTTGGTTGTATATTTAGATAGTAATATTGTATGTACAAAGACATTTACTAATCAACAGAGAAAGCTGCATCCATACTAATTTTATAGTCATACCATGCAGAGCTCTCCATCCAGAATATACCGAGGGGCGGGACTTTGAAAATTTCAAATTATCATATATTTTAGAATTTTTATTGATATATTTTCTTATCCTAAAATTTTATACTCCTAAATTTCAAAAATTCACTCATATAGCATAAAATTCTCCATCCGTCCCTGTGTCCGCCTAACCACTATGAGGGCCAAAGGCAAAATGGGTCACTGAACATTCTGTAAGTTGCAAGCTCCTTTTAAAGGCTGCTTGGGCAGACCAGACACTATTCTCCCATACATTATCTCAAGGAAATATCTATGAGGAACATTTTTATGTACTGCTTTAGAGGGGATATTCTTAATGGATTCAAGGCTGATGAGGTTATGGCCTTATTTACTCCTTCTCCGGGCATTGGGGATTGTAATAGTATGTGGGCCCTATGAAGGGGTGACACTTTAGCAAAGGTGTTGTTAGGAGATGAGGCGGAGAAGGAGGTATATTGTTGTCGTTTTGCCATTATCTTTGTAGAGTATGGTTACATAAACTCTCACTCTAGGGTTTGTCAGTGGGTTTGGTCCATACGATGATGACAATAGTATTCCAGAGGATTTGATTCGTTTTTGTGAGGTTCCAAAAGAAGAGGAGGATGAGGAGTCGAAGAACTCGCTTAGCGATGATGTGAATGAAGCATCAAGCCTTGAAGTTTATGCTTTTGTCAAAGAGAATGAAGATGATGGCCTTGGTGTAGGGGGAAGCAAAGCAAAGCAATTTGAATTCCAAAAGTGATTTTATATATTTTCTTCTTCCCTTCTATAAGATCGTGTTATCATACTTCCATATCCATAACAAAAAACTGTTACTGTCAGTAAAATTTGTGGACAATCACCTATATTCTCTCTTCTGAAATTGTAAGAGACTATTGATTTTAGTTTCTCTTGTATAAGAATTAACCTGACCATTACCTTTGTTTTTAATCCTATTGGTGTAAACAAGGACCGACATGAACAAAACTAGAAAGAAAAAATTATATGAAAATATAAAATTTTCATGAAATGAGATAATTCCCACACCCCTGAACCCCTGGTCCGTCCCTGGTGCAAATTTATACTGGTCATCTAAGACCCTGAACAGTTTGAAAGAGGAAAAGGGAAGAAAACAAAGTTGGCAGCACAACTCAAAGTCAGATGGATGACAAAAAAAGGATAGAACATGAATTACTAAACACGATTTCAAAGAGTGTCTTTGCCAATGCTTAGGATGATAAAAAAGCAACATTATATGTAAAATTAGAATATAGCTACTTGGGAAATTTCAGAGTATCAGCAGCCTCACAGCCTGGGAATTGAAATGGGAATTTTTGCGTAGAACTTCCCACATCAAGCTGCGTTGGAGAGATATATTTGTTTTGAGAGTGGTGATGATGATCCATGCTGAGAGGCTGGGTTGTTAGAAGCTTGTCCAAGAACGACCATTCACCATTGTACCTCATCTGATCTTGTTGCATAAGTCCACAGCCGCCGCTTGTCGTTAGCCTCAATAAGTTTCGAGAGTATTCTATATCCATGGAGTTCAAAGATAGTGGTGATATAAAGGAAGAAGTAACGGCCGTTGATTCTGGACTAAATAACTGCGGTAGATGCATGGAGGCATCAAAGGAATACTGATCATACAGCGTATGCAAATGATGATGATGATGATTCTTATTATTATGCCTTGGATCCATTTGAGACGAAGAAGCAACACTCTTCATGTGACAATAGTTTTCTTCTTGAGTACTGAAATCCGCCTGAAAATTACCTCTGATGTGATTCTTCTTCTTGAAAACCCTGCAAACAACCCACCCATCTTCCTGCTAGCAAGGCCATTAATTATAAGCTATTGTTATTGTTCTTGGATACGTAAAACGAGTTACAATCGTAAACTGTGATGATCTAATTAAGTCAAGTCCTTTACCTGAACATCAGAATCATCGTCGTCTAAGCGATACTCATGCATGATCCAATCGGTTTTCCGGCCATGAGGGGCACGTCCTGTGTAGAAAACTAGGGTTTTCCTCATGCCGATTTTCTTGGAGTTGCTGAGGTGGATAACCTTGTCCCTCCCAGTTGCCTTCCAAAAACCAGCTGTGGTTGCCCTATTTGTTCGAGTTCCTGTTGGGTATTTCTTGTCCTTGTGGCTGAAGAAATACCACTCGTTTTGAGGACCCGATCCAATTCTGCATTTCTCTGCAAATTCATCATACATGAAAACATTCTCAATTTTATCATAGATTTGTTTAAGAGGTTATCGCTTGGAGATAATCGATGAGATGAACTGACCTTTAAGATCCCAAGGCTCATGTTTGTTGAGATCCACTTCCCTTATGACATCGAGGTCGATAGCTTCATACGAGACCTTCTTCCTCAAATAATAGTAGAGAAGCTCTTCATCTGTTGGGTGGAATCGAAAACCTGGCGGAACTGAAAGCGGCCCATTTCCTGCCATCACTTTAATTTCCACGATTGCTCTGGAACACCAAAATACCTTCATTGTCATCAACTATATATGTATATTCAAGGAATGACGAAGAACTACATATGTAAAAGGAAAGAGAAACCACCCCAGTTGCATGAATATATAATATAGACACCACATACTCTGAACTTTATATGTATATATATATACTGTTAGATCGTAACCAAAACGCTCATTGCTACCTGAACTCAACAAACTGGAGATAATACATTTACATGTACTAATGTTTAGGTTATGGAAAGAAAAAAGAAAGAAATCGGCCACTTCCAACCAAGCCATAAGTAGTTTAGGGATTGGACATTCGATCTTTGCATAGTTTAGGGATTGATGAACAGATAGAGAAGCCATGCAGTTACAGAATCAAGTTGTATGTGTTAATGAAAGTTCAAACCCTGGACTACGAGGAAGCTGAAAAGCAACAAACAAACCCTAAAATCTAATGAGTAAAGTACAGCCACATGCATGCATGAGTGTAGATGCAGTCAAGTCCAGCTGCAAGCTGGAAAAGGTATGTAGTTAGTGACAAAGAGCAAAGTAAAAGGAAATGGAAAATGCAAACCTTGTTTTTGGCGTTGAAGGGTGTGTGTGATAACAGTACAAACGAAACAATACAAAGCAGAAGAAGAACAAAAGGGAAGGAACTATGAGAGAGAAAGAGAGGTGGATCTCTTAGCTTGAAGGGCACGATGTTAGGGCTTTTAAGACAGAGATAGATGAGACTGTAGATAAATATGAGACAACCGAGGATGGGCTGGCTTGCCTGGGTTCAGAAATAAACACAAATGATAAAAAACATCTTTAACTATATGTATATTTAATTAATTAATAATGAATTATCATATATATATTAAACCGGGTTTCCTCTATGAAATAGAGGGTGGGGCATATGTCCGTTGAACGGGAGACCTTACTCCTGGATACCGCCTCATAAAATGAATGAACTCTGCACAGCTGTCAATTAAGTATTCATTAGTTAATAATTCCTTTTTTGTGATCAAGTATTAATTAATTAGTTAATAGATATACATGTACGGTTCACCTACACCTGATCTTAGAAAAGTTGAAGCAGAGGAATGAAATAATAATTCTCTTCTGCAATTTGACTGCCCATATTATACAATTAATATTACACTTTATCAAAATTCCTTATAATTATTATTATGTTTTTTTAAATGCTTAATAGTATAAGAATTTATTAAGTAATTTCAACGGTAAAAGTGAATATTAGAGGTCTTAGATTTGAGTAAATGCACGTAGTGAATATAAGAATGCATTAATTGCTTTACGGTTTTTAATATAAATATTGACTTTAGCTAAGATGTATAAATGTATTTGCATGTAATATAAAAGAAAGTCATTAAGTTGTGTACTTTAATGAGCTATGTGTATATTGTATATATACAGGGATTAGTACGTAGAGAGCCCTTGAATGGTTATATAATATCACATGGCATGAAATTCAGTGCAATGCGTAGAATAAGCCTTTAGGGGGTGTTTGGTTCAAGGATTATGGGATTCCCATCCCATGGGAATCCCACATTCCTATGTTTGGTTGGCCGGGAATCTCATTCCCGGTAATGTTTTATTACCAATAGTAGATTTTTTGGGTATATTACCGGGAATGTCATTACCTCCCTTCCCTTAGGTATTGTAACATTACCGGCGTTTTGGACTAAAATGCCCTTCAATTTTTATTTTTTTTCAAAAATATCATTCTTCTGTCATTGAATAATAAAAATTCTACGAAGGTTAAATTACAAATTTATCCTTAAATTATTTTAGATTTACAAAAAAAAAGTCTATAATTAAAATTTTATATGAAGTTAAGGGGTTAAAAAAATTACCCTTTCATTAAACATTTTTTATATTTTTAATTTTGTAAAAAAATATATATAAATATTATGAATTTAATTTTTTAAAGAAAATATATAAATATTTTACAATTTGTAATATTTTACAATTTGTAATATTATACAAATATATAATAAGGACAATTTGGTCAAATATACATTCCAATAATCTTTTATTCATTTAACCAAACACGGTAATCTTACATTCCTGCTAAACCAACCAAAACACAAAATACAACATTCCCAGTAATCTTATTCCCTGGTAATCTTTTATTCCCACGGGTAATCTTACATTCCGTGAACCAAACGCACCCTTAGGGTATTGGGGTACTCATTACTTTTCAAGAATCACTAGGGATTAACTTTAACTGCCCATCCCTCATTCCCTCCATTATTATTTAAGGTAATATATATGTTTAGTAATTAAATTATTATTTTTATTATATTTTAATATTTAAATTTTATTTTTAAAAAATATTACCTGAGGTTTAATTTAGGTTTCAATTTGGTATGTCATTATTAAAAAAATAACTAAATTGTTAATATGATGTTTTTTAAAAAAATTAGTGATGGCGTGACACTATCTTATGGGAACACATCAATATCATCGTTAAATTTTTAATAACGGGATATCAAAGTGAAATTTAAAGTAAATATTAGGTATGATTTTGAAAAGAAATAAAATTTTAGTACTAAAATAGAATAAAAGTAATAGTTTAGATATTAAAAACGTTGTTTACCTTATTATTTACTGTCGTCTCTTACCTGTGACAATGACTTGTTCGTAGATATCAGAGTTTACTCCTTAATTAATCCCAAGTTGGGAATTGTTTATGATGATTCTTTTCTTCGGACACAGAAAATTTTGGAATTTCTTTTACACGATGAGAAATGTTTTGGCAAATAAAAAAGGATGGAATAAAAATAAATAAATTTGGAATCAATAGACCCAACCGATTTAGATTTAATTATTTTATTAATTTGGGATTATTATAAAAAAATATATATTTAAATTTTATTTTTTATAATTGATAATGTACATACATCCTACAAACACAACTGTTTGAATCTAAAACTTTTAAAGAGAACAATTATTCTTTTCCTATTGATATCATTTGATGGATTTTACTTTGGTTTAAATCAAAGTAAAAGTGTTAGAAGAAGATAAATTAGATTAGGATACAATACACAAATGATCCCCAAACTATATGGTCTTGTTTTGTTAAGTTTTTCAACTATTAAAAGTTACAAAATAGTTCACCGACTATAGGATGTTGCTTTGTTGAGTCCTTCAACTATTAAAAGTTACAAAATGGTCATCTGACTATTCATATGTATCAAACTTGTCATTTTCTGTTAAAAAATTAATGCTCCTATGAGCTGGATGTTAATTTGCTGACCGACATATGATAACATATGATCACAGAATCTCAAATGACTATATAATTCAAACTATTATGATATTATATTTTATCATATCATAGTCAGCATATTTACGTCTATCTTAAACGACCGTCAATTTTTTAACGGAAAATAATGAGTTTGAAATACATGAATAGTCGAGTGACCATTTTATAACTTTTAATAATCAGTAAACTTAACATAACAATATCATATAATTAGAGAATTATTCTATAATTTTAATAATCAATAAACTCGACAAAACAATATCATATAATTAACCGATCATTTGTGTACTTTACTCATTAGATTAGTGGGGAAATGAACCACACAATCCAATGCCTTGATGGGTTGACTATAAAAAAAAAGAGAAAAAGAAAAGGGATTCTCACGCTACCTTTAAAAGCTGAAGGTAAAAAAATAAAAAAGTGAGGAAAAAAAGGAGTGAATGGTCAAACACGGTGGCTGAAAATCCTCCTTTAATCTCCCTACAACACTCCTCTCTTCTTCAGGCCTTATTATTGCCTATCCAAAACGTGTTGCGTTGCCTTCACGGACATTACTGCTACTTATTACTGCAAAATATACCTGAGGGAATCCTAGGCTTAACACATTCATTTTATGTTTATATTTAGTAATCAGTGTTAGCATGAATTAATTGATTTCGGTGTTAAATTAAGTATTGTTATTTCTAAAATTCTCAAGTTCGAACACTATAAATATCAAGGATATAAGCATTCAACATCAAATAATGGAGAGTTTTTTTTTTCTGTTGACATTATGCCTTTGTTTTTCTATGGCCACTTAATCATTATGAACGGAACTCCATTGATGTGTAGATGGGAAATCTAGGTAAACCTGCAGTTAAAAGAAATATAGACAATGAGATTGCGATTATCCATTTTCGTTCGGGTCCGTTTAATAAAGCCCAAAATCTAAAATAACATATATTTCTATTTTTTTTAATTAAATTATAAACTACATTAGCCCATTTTCTAGTAATCCAATACCCAACTTTAAAACCCAATACCTAGTCTGCTCGACCCAAAAACCCACCAATCTTAATGTAACCCCCCAGACCGATAGGGGTAGCCCGATCCGATCCGAGAAGTCACATTAGGGCCACCTGTTGACGAAAACGGGTAAAGAAAACAAAAGAACACGAGAATTTTACGAGGTTCGGCAATGTGCTTACGTCCTCGGTGCCTAGGCGGCGCTAGAAGTTTTTATTCAAAAATGATATTTTAGGTCTAGGTTACATCTCTATTTATAATAGAAAACCCTTGTACATAATTACAAAATTAACCCTGTACCGTACCGCGGGGCTGCGCCCCCGCACCCCCAACCCACATAATTCGTAACCCCACAACGAGACTTTCTTTGTAAGGACAGTTGATGTTCGCTTCGCTCACTCCGCTCCATCTCCTGTCCTCTTTACTGGTATATTTATGAGCCATACCTAACACCACCGGAGCGACCCATTGTAAAAATAGCGGAAAATTTAAATCTTTTTATCAGAACATGTAAACTTATAAAATCATTTGTCACTATTTAAAAATAAAACATATTTCCAGACTCGTATATAAATCAAAACACAATTACATGCCCCCCTAATCACATGTACCATACTCTGCAATAACGCCGGAAGAACTCCCTTACTGAAGTCGATAGATGCACTGGTACAATTCTTTTAACCTGAAAAGGTGAGTAATAGAGTGAGCTTTGGAAAGCTCAGTAATACAGAACTACCAGATGATGCTGAAAAACGTGCAGATACAGATAAACATATTTTCCTTATTGGTTCAGATATTTACAGATTTTTATGTTGAGCAGAGATCCTACTGATATTTCAGGTGGTAACGGACAATGAGCTTTCGTTTCAGAGAAATATTTCGGATGACTGAGTTCAGGAGATCAGAATAGGTTTTCTAGTGTGTTCCCAAAAAAACCATGTAACTTTTCAGATCTTTTTAAAACATATATATATATATACCCCCATCCGTCACGAACAAAATGTGTAGGTTCCCCAGAACCATACAACCCCGTCACTAACAGTAAGGCCCTGAGCACACAGCCGAGGAACCGGTAAGTAAGGCCCTGAGCACACAGCCGAGGAACCTCCAAGTAATCTTCCTCCAACAATACCCCCCAATAAAACATGTTCCGTCCGTAAACGGATATATCAAAAATCAAAACATAATTCAAGTCAAGTATCATATCAGAATCCAGGTAATGTATCAGATCAGAATCCATGTCAATATCAGATAAGAATCCAGGTCAGGTATCATAACAGAATTCAAGTCGGAAATCAGATAAAATATTTATATGATTAGGGAACACACCAGAGTTTACAGATATTATTCATAGGTATTGGATAATCTTAACAAGTAGAGAAACATGAATATTCAGTATACCGATAGGATATCGGAATTTAGAATCACTATTGGAAGAGTTCATTAACTGACAAAATCATCAGTTATTCAGAATGTGAATTATCAGGATATTATCTTATTCTGACAGTTTTCAGAAACTGTACGTAATCAGAAGAGTATTCAGAATCCTTTACATCCATGTCGATTGATCGGATAATCGAACAACTCGAGAACGAAGATTCAGAACCTTAACAATCTATGTTGATTGGTCAATTCATTTTCCTTCTAGGGTATTTACTCTTTAATACCACAAATTCTTGTCCGTAGACCATTTTCGGAATTATCGCTGAATAAATCTTCCAATGTCTTTATTTCATTTCCACGCTTCCACAATATCATGAAATGCTGACGTACTTGATTAATTTGTTCATAACCCATTTTAATTGTACACTACGTAAACTCATCAGAGTTTCCAAACTTATCCAAATCACTTATTAAATCCTCAGTCATTGAGGTTACCTAGTTCATTTAGCAGTCATGTCCATTCCAGTTACTTCAGGATTTTCCAGAGTAATTCAAACGTTCCTGAATTTCAGATACATGTTGTACTTCCATTCCATTCAATTTGGTCTTCATGGTTGATTTGTCGAACAAACGTCCAATTCTTAGTACTGAATACGATCTAGAGCTGAGCTGAATACTTCCAAAATTTATCATCGAGCCAAACTTGAGAAGATGAACACATGTTCCAGTAATATCTATGTTATTCAGGTATTGACATAGCTTTAGGGTTGATATATTCACTTAAATTGTTTTCCATTACCTTTAAAGGTAGTCCAATACTTATCTTACTTGGATTCCTTAATTAATCCAAGACATTTACTTAATTTAGACCATAAGAGTATTTTGGTAATTTTGATGTTCAGTTTTATTCCATTCATTTCAGAGCTCGAGGATATTCAATCATTCCTGAGCTTGGTGATATTCTTGGGTCATTTCTATTACAGGGGTATTTTGGTCATTTTACAGATTCACGGTATTTCAACCTTTTTCCTCAATCCGGTCTTATTATTTAATTCCAATTTATTATCTATTCCAGTCCGTTCGAACAATTCTGATAGCAGAATACCCCCGATAAATTACTCTTCAAGTATTTACTCATTATTTGAATATTTTCAGATCAAGTGTCTTCTTAGACTTTACAAACGGAATATCATAAATTTTCCTGCACTAAGTCGGGATCTTAACAATTAAATCCGTACTAAATCGAGTTAAGTACGAATCCTCTAAGTATTTTCTCATTCAGAGTCATCTCAGACTATTCTACCTCTTAAGGGCATTTCCGTAATTTCTTAACCAGATAAGTTCGATATTAGCTCTTAACGAAAATAATATAATTTAGAGATCCTATGATTAATTGCTTTCTTGAACAATCTATGATCTTGAAATAATTCCCTTAACACACTTCTAGTATCTTGCATAAACCCTCTTGGGGTTAAAAACCGGTTATCCATAATGTCTACGTATAACTATCATTTCTTATGCACATCTATATTTTTATCAGATCAATATGTCTGTAAAATCCTCTTATCTAACTTCCATATTCCAATCTTGTCTTTTTATAACACAAGGGTATTTTCGTAATTTTACCCTACCGGAGTATTTTTATAAATTCACATCCAAATGCCTTTAACATTTAACCTTTGATGAAATAAATTATAAGTTACAGATCCAGGTTGATTTCTTTACCACTAAGCACATAACTTGTAATTTAATTCTAGCAATCCCTTAATTTCTTATAAAAGTCATCTGAACCATAATCAATTACTGAACCTTTTTACCGTATTCAGATCAAGTGTAGAACTTCATTAATTATACATATGAGACCAAACATTTTCATTCATGCATTTACCAATACCAACATGTTCTATAAAGCATAAAGAGGTAGTAAAGTATTACCTTGATTTCCGTGCAATACTGATCGACCATAAAAATTCCATTCGAACGCCTTTGATCTTCAATTCAACTTCCAATAATTCCTCAGATACATATCAACATAAATTATATCAGAAACGGAGCTTAATTACGATAAACGGATCGAATCGGGTGATAAATTATTGAAAGACGGCTTACCGGGTTCGAATTTGGTGAAACGGACTTCGGATTCGGATTCAGGACGTCGAAAGCATAAAATATGACTTTTCGGAAATTTGGAATTTTCGGTCAAAATCAACGGGTTTGACCTGCAATTTCGAGACCTTCGGGTTTGAATTTCGAAAAACGGACAGCGGAATCGGATTTGGAACGTCGAAAAATGTCAGGATAGGTATACTCGGTCGAAGTCAAATGTCGTTTAATGCCCGATCAAAGCCGGTCAAAGTTTTGGTCAACAGTGGTCAACTCCGGTCAACGATCAACGGGTCAACGGGTCGGGTAAACGGGTCGGGTAAACGGGTCGGGTCGGGTCAACGGGTCGGGTCGGGTTGTGACCGGTCAAACCGGTCAAAACAGTTTCAAAACCGGTCAAACCGGTCACTTTTCCCTTCCCCACGCGCAGTGGGGGCGCGTGAACAGTGATAAAATCCCGGAAAAATTCCTAAAAATTATTTTGAGCGATTTCGAGATACTTACAAAGCTCGGTTCACAATTTTGAACGGCGGAGAGCTCGATTTCAACAAATCGGGAAGTTTGATCGGTTCACCTCCCAACGCGCCGCCGCCGCCGGAGAAAAAGGAGAACACCGGTGGACTCGGAACGGCACAAGGAACACGATGGTGCGGGAGGTGTCGTAAACGGATAACCCAATCGTTGTGAATCGATGAAAAACCAACTAAAACTGAGTTATTACCGACGATACTTCCGACTGAAATTAACGACGAACGGAGATGATTCACGATGAAAGGTTTGAGGGGTTTTGTTCCTCGGTTGACAACGAACACGATGGTAGTTTCGGCTCGTCGATCGGAGGTCGGACGGCGAGTAGATCGGAGTTCGAAGTAGGGAGAACGGGAGAGGAAAACTGGAAAATTTTCCGCTGAACCTGCGCACGGGGAAACTTATAATTCAACATATATAAAAATTGGTTAAATCATGACTTTAGCCACTGAACTTCATGCATTTCTTAAAACGGTCTGCCATCTTTGAAATCTGACAATTTAATCCCCAAATTTCTTCCAAATACCAATTAAATCCACCACTTTATAATTTCTTAATTTTAGCCCCTAAATTGGGGTGTTACACTTAAACTGATTTAGAAACCCAAAACTTGATTGAAGTTGTTTTCGTTATCGTCAGGGATCACCTTCATGCCAACAGCAGCTCTACTAATAACGATGAATTCATAAATATTTTTAAAAATGGATATATAGATTAATAATATAATCTTTTCGTACTAGATGAATATAAAAAATATTCAGGATGAATATTATCGATAAAATAAATAATTAATATAAAAAATCAGATTTTAAAGTAAATACATACCCCACACTGAGAAATACCTACAATCAAATTTGAGCGTTGCTTGGACTGAATTTTCATTGCTGAAAATTACCCCACTTTGAAGGGGTCTCCGAGAAATTGTGTCGAGACGGAAATTATTAATTTTTAAATTAAATTTTCTTATCCAACCTAAGACCTTTAGAAAAAATAATCTTCTCTTTTACCACCTAAACCACTTGATGAGTTCCTTTTTGTTATTATGTATTGCATCTGTAGTAGTTTTTACTCATTGAATTATATTAAGCATTTTTCTTAACACAATTTAGTACGATGTATAGTTTTAAAATCAATTTGCAGTACCAAATATTAAATTAAAATTCATAATTAAGAATAAGAGGTCCAAATAACAAATGTAATCCAAAGTCCATCAACACATTTTCTTATCCCCATTGAACCCGAAAAAGAAAAGAAAAGAAAAATAGAAGCACAATCAATCCAGTAATTTAGAAAAAAATGCTTAAACCACACAAGGTATTTTGCATCTTATTTTCAGAAAAATCAGAAACTTACTTCCATGTTGGCATCGCGACATAAACAACACTAACAATGGATCTTTAAGAGATGACATTCTCGTTCAAGTATTCCACAAATTCATCTATAAGATAGGGCCATGCTCCTTCAGCATCGTAGTTCGATAGTGCACGGCCTACCGTCTGCACCGCAAACATTAATATAAAGATTATAATGTTTTTCGTTAACATACATGATAGATATTAGCCTTGGCAATTAACTAAAAACCAACTACTTAATCTCAACCACGATTTTCAAGGACAGACCGATCCTGGCTGCCTAACCAGTTATCATTAGACCTTGTATAAACAACACTGCCATGTATAACAGTAACACTTAAGTTGCAGCAAGTCAGGTAGCATGAAGTCATTAATCAAATGAACGGTTGATTTAAACTCTATGTATGCAGAAATATCCAAGACACTGAATTGAAGCCTATAACTTTATTATTCGGGCCAGGTTCAAGCAGCAGCATCAAAGATAAATACAGTTAAAGAACAACTAATCAGAGTGGAAGAAATACAAGCAAGCTATTAAATTTTCATATCTGACAACTTTACAAAGGATAGTACATTCAATTTTCTGGAGATGATCATGCACAAATTGTCCCTTTCATGAATGAATGAAAGAAATAGTACCCCAAGATCCTTATTCTTCTAAAATTTGCAGCCATAATTTCATGCTAAAGAAATTCCTACTAAGACAGCCATCAAAAGATTTACTTAACTTTATACGATGACAGAAATGACGATGGATGGAAAACTTGTTAATCAAATGGTTAAGATTCAAACCCATTTGATTAACAAATTTTTCATCCTTCATACCAAGCAAAGCCTAAGATAGAACATTAGACCTTTGGTAGCACAGATTACGCATTATCACCTTTTTGCAGCAAAGTTTCTTATCACGGTGTGATAAACTAAATTAAATTTGGGTAAACAATACGGATGGTCCCTTATGTTTTCGGTCTAACCGATTTTAGTCACCGGTTCAAAAAAAGAGTGGTTTTGATCCCTTACGTTATCGGTTCGTTTGAATTTAGTCCGTTCACATCCTTACTACTGATATTATGAGGGCTATGGCTAAAAATATCTCATTTATGTCTAAGGGGATTCATTAGAGAAAGCCCCTTCATTAAACTGTGCTTCCAAATGAGGATTGATTCAAGATGAGAATGAGGATTGAGTCATTAGTTTTGTCATGGAAGATAGGGTTCGCGAACAGAGGTTTAGAGTGTGCAAGATAGGGTCTTGAATGGGTCGTACTGAAACTAGATTAAGTCAATCACAATTAGAGCATATATCAGTTACCAAATCACATAAAATTTCACAAAGATAGATTTTCAATCACGAGTAAAGCAGATAGTAATTACCAAATTGCACAAACATACAACTCGGAATACTCGGATTAAGTTCGATTTGGACATACAACTAAATCCAAAAGATGAAAAAACTGTTCATAAAAGAAACACTGTAAAACCCTAACCCGGTCATCAAAGTCAATCAATCCTCGTCCGGATCGACACCTTCAAACACCCATTGGTATTGTGCCCTCAACTCAGCCTCTTCCTCTGGCGTATAATCATTTTCTATTCCGAAAAACTTCCTCACATACTGCACGCTCTTATTTTTAATCCTGTCAGCTGCGCCCTGGTTCAGCATATCAAGCATGTCCTTAATATTCAGATAATTAACTGCCAAGATCAACTCGATCAGCGACTCATTGTCGTGAGCCTTGACCAACTCTTCATCATAGGCCTTGGCTTCATCCTCCACCGACGAGGAGTTATCACGGGCGCGGAGCGCTAGATGGAATTTACAGTACTCAATGATTGTTGAGAGACACTTGGAAGAGACGTTGGGGAGCGGAATGGGTTCATCGGAGGCATCGGGATTTTCGTCAAAGAAGGTTTTGACGGTGCCGAACTCCATGGCCACTGCTTCATCCACTTCGAAATCGTGATTGTCGGCTGTTCGAAGAGTTATTTTGTTGTTGTTGACGGGAACCGTTGACATTGTGAGGGTGGGGATGGAGGCAAATAGGGGAGAATTAGGGTTAGGGATTTGGATGGGAATCGAAGATTTTGAGAAAATTGTAGGTAGAAATCGCTGGGACTGAAAGGGTATATATAGTGGCCCATTGACTTAGGAAGTAAAGTAAATTGTTAGACTACTAATTAAACATAGTTTAGATTTTTTTATTTTTTATATTATCTAAATTAATTTATATTATTTTAATTAGTGAAAATTTTAAATATAATTTTTTAATGTTTTAATTAATTCTTTTATTTTATTATCTTAATTTCTTTAATAATTATAGGTTAAATAATTAGTGTTTAAATAATTGATAATAAATTAATTCGCCTTAATAATTATTCAAACATGTGGTTAAATACTTGAAATAATTATTTTATTTAAATAAAAATATTTTTTATATTAGAATTATTGAGACTAAATTTTATAATAAAATCGAAAAAAATAAATCTCCCACTCATTGATGACATCTTTGTGAATTGATTTTACAATGCGTTCATTGTCAATTATGCGCTTGATTTCTTCATACTATACAATATTCAACATTGTTTTTTGCTGACAATTTTCTCGACATCACCGTGTATTAGACTATTGACGTGTCTGATTTGTACTATGATATATGATGACGTGAAGAATAATGATTGCGAAAGCATTCGTTCAACATCCCTTCATTGGATAAAATCGATGGCACGGGTGGAGGAGCAGTTCTACTCAATATCGATGTGAATATAACATATAAGATCTGATAGTACTAGTGTCTAAACTGTTGCATTGGACTTGACGAAACGGAAACATACTGCATCGTTGGTTACTATAATATCAACTTTGTAGCAGTGACGGATCAAAATTTTAATTTTTTTTTTAATAATAATGGGTATGAGAAAATTGTAATTTTTTTCTTTTTCCTTAACATATTAAGTTAAATTTAACCGCTTTTCCAAAGTAATGAGGATGAAATTGACCCCTATGGAAGCTTAGTGCATCCGCCACTGCTTTGTAGGACGTGATGGTTTGGATGTTGTTGACGAGGATGAGCTGGAATGATTTTTTTTATTCCTTTTCTTTGATTAGTTAGGGGCTGATAATACTGCATCATCAAATGTTTTTTTTTGGTTAATAAATCAAGTGGGCTTAATTCATCTAATAAAGTAAATACTCTTTATTTATTTTGACCACTACATATCGTTGTCGTCTTAGTTCATCTAATAAAGTAAATACTCCTTATTTATTTTGACCACTACAGATCGTTGTCGTCGAAGGTCAGTGATTCTCAAAAAAAATTATCGAAAGTATCTCATCATTCTGAACGCGAATTCGATATATATTTAACTGAAAACCACTCCAAATTTCATAGATCTAGGGTTGATACCACCTCAACACCATTATTGGTGTTAGTCCAGGCTCCTTGCTGCTGAACATTGAAGTTTACTAATTGCTAACTCATTGGGACCCGATGATCATAAAAGAAGTATTCGAGAAATACAAAATATGGAACCATCATTGGGTGCGTTTTAGGGTACGTGAATATGCATGTGTGGCATTAAATGGGGTTATGGATTTGGCTCCGAGGTAATTGGTTACATTGAAACTGCTTGTGGAGTTGATTTCAGTGTGGGTTTTACTCTTGTTGGTGTTGGCATTAGTCTTCCCGCAAATTACCTCTTTCAACTTCCATACAATACTTTTCAAACGACTGGAACCGAGGCACGTGATCTCGTCTTTTCCAAAATTACACCTGTTATTGCCTAGAATAGATTTGTACCTCAACTCTCTAACCTTCAAAGAGAAGCCACTACAAGACTGTCAAGCATGGTGCCTTCTCACACTACCTCTATCTAGGAATGAGAACGGAGAAAATAGAAAATAGAGAGCGGTAAGGAATGAAAGCAATGAGCGATAGAAAGTGAATAAATATAAAAATAATTTAATAAAATATTAATTAGTGTCTATGTGGTAGCTCAAAAACTAATAAAAAATCATTTCATTACAAAATTAGAAAGAGAACGGTAAATTGATAAAAAAATAAGTTTGAGGTTTAAAGTTAAGTGATTAAATAATTTTTTTTTTATATTTAAAAGACTAAAATCGAATTGAGAAGATAATTGATGTAGTTTTATTTTTCAAATTTTCCTTAAACCTTTGTCAAATGAAATGAATGCTTCATACGACATCGTATCTGAACGTTGGCTCTCCGTGTCTTCTCTTTCTCGCCCACTTCCTCTCATCTGTAAGCATCCATCCACAAATGGAGCTTTCATTTCCTTCTCGCTTCCTAAACAGCTTTTCCTCCTCTTCCACCGCCGCCAGAACCGCCCCACTAATTAACAAGCCCATAGTTCCCCATAGGTTTCCCTTCACCCCTCTTCTTCCTTTCCAACGTTCTCTTTCCCCTTTCACTTTTAAACAAATGAATAATATTAATTCCCAGTCACCTCTTTCTTGTTCCTCTCTTCCCCAGAACAATGGCTCCTCATCCCCCACTTCCCCTTCACCCGATCCAGGTAAAAGAAACCCAAATCCAAAATAACTAAATATCACCCCCTTTTGTGCTTCATCTAATCTTTTTGTTGACTACTATTTTTTTGGTTCTTGGTTTAGGCCGGATTGGAGTGGTGGAGAGGGTGACGAAAGAGACTAATGTGTGGGTTAAGATCAGTTTGGATGGCAATGGAGTTGCTAATTCTAGTACTAGTATTCCCTTTCTAGATCATATGTTGGATGTATGCTTCTTATTTTCCCTTCCTTTTTGGCCTTAATTTATTATTTCTCTAAGCTGCTAACTGATTTCATGTCCTTTTTTTTCCTCTTAGCAACTAGCGTCTCATGGGCTGTTCGATGTGCACGTCAAGGCTACTGGGGACATTCATATTGATGATCATCACACCAATGAAGATGTTGCCCTTGCTCTCGGAACGGTGATTTTCTCTTCTTTTTTCGCCCCTTGTAATTTCTAAGATTTAGGTGAATTTAATTACTGAAAAGCTTAACTCTGAATGGAAGGTCTAGATTTCAAATGCTTCCTCTGACGAATTAATTACTGCAAGAGATTAGCTCTTGTTAATTTGAGTATTCAAGCTTTTCATATTCTATGCAGTCTTATGTTTGCAAATGTCAGCAAAATAGCTTAAAGTTTATCGGCGAAGGGATATCACTATACTGATTTAATATCGGCGGTCCAACATTTTGATTTGCATTTCCTATTCTGTGCAAGTCTTTGTGAATTAATCAGTTGTCTGTCTTCATCAGGCATTGCTTCAGGCACTTGGTGACAGGAAAGGAATTAATCGTTTTGGAGATTTTTCTGCTCCTCTTGATGAAGCATTGATACATGTTTCACTGGTATGAGTGACATGCGTTGTTTCGTAAGCATGATTTTATGGTTCTATTTGAAATTCAAAGGTGTCAAAATGTACTTTTATTTCCTGCAAATGTATAGAGCTTAATAGGATTCGGTGCTAGGAAAATTTCTCGATACTGCTATCTTCACAGAGAAAGCTTGGCAAATAGTTAATCCTCAAACTCTATACATAGTGTGGTGATGGTGATTGTATGAAGTACCATTGAATTTACTTTATTTTGAAGGTAATCCTTTAGAAACCTTGTTTCCTTGTAATGTTCAGTCATTAATATGATAAATTTTATAATGTTTGTGCCTAGGATTTATCTGGCCGACCGCATTTATCTTATGATCTGAACATTCCCACTGAAAGAGTTGGGACATATGACACTCAGGTAATCCACTTTGCTTTTGTTCTGTTCAAATATAGGGGAACCTTGTCAACCAGATTTCAACATTTTATATGCTTTCCTAAGTTATTGCTGCCTTCATTCCGCTTTCTTTTCAAATATGTTTATGCTGAATTTCACCGACACATTTTTATACCCTAATTATCACAGTTGGTGGAGCATTTTTTCCAGTCTTTGGTCAATACTTCTGGCATGACACTTCATATACGACAGGTAGTTAAACCGAGACGTTCATAAATTTTATTTGTTAATATTAAACAATCCGAACATTCTTTTAAATGCAAAGAACTCTTGTAACTAATAAAATGTTATGTTAATACAAGTTTTTTTTTCTGTGCATTAGCTTCTTTTCATTGTACTTTGTCTAAATTTTTATTAAGTAGTTCAGCTTGAGTTCAGATGCATCCTAGCAAAACCACTCATAAAGCTTTATGTTACTTGCTTTCCATTTCTACTTGTAGGATCTTTTAACTTAATATTTCAAATTGGCTTTTCACAGCTTGCAGGGAAAAATTCACATCATATTATTGAGGCAACATTTAAGGCGTTTGCCAGGGCCCTTAGGCAGGCAACTGAATATGATCTGCGCCGCCTTGGGACCGTACCTAGGTTCGATATCGTCCCGTTTAATTAAGACTCTATATCAATTCAATCTTTTTCTGAGACTTTCAATGGTTAAGGGTTGTTATATCACATTTGTGCTAAAGTATTAAAAAAAGCCCTTGGACTAGTTTCTTCAATAAGTTCTTATAATTTGATTTACATTAAGAGTTTTTTTCCCTAAAATGAAATATTAGGGGCCAGAATGCTAAAAAAAAGAATAGGGTTCAAAATGACTATTTTGGCAAACATGGAGGGCTAATTTTGACATTATGTCTAGTATATTTAGCCTTTTTCCCCCCTTAATTGTATGTAATTCTGTCCTAGAGCTGTGAAGCATTTGTACTTGTGCAGCTCAAAAGGGGTTCTATCACGTTCTTGACGTTTCATGAGCATCATATGGGCCAAGTCAATGACCCCAACAGCACAAACGGTGAGATGCATTTCGTGGATATTTAGGTAATTAGCCTTTTAATTATTTTCTAAGTATCACAGTTTTAGGTTAATTACTTTTCCCAGATGTTTTATAGCATAAACTAGATGCTTTTGAGGAGCTCTATCCTAAATTGTTACATTTCAGATTTGTTAACCTTGATTTTTATCATTTTAAATATTTTTATTATCTGGATTTTATAAATAAATAAAAACGGAGACAAAAATTAAAGCCTTCATGGTTCTTGAATTTTTTTTTAAAGGGATAATGGCATCAATGCCCCCATGTATTTAGCAAAACTTTCAATCCGGTGGCTGTACTTTCAAAATGTTTAATGTTGCCTTTTGTGGACCACTCTAATTTTGTCACTAGTTGGGATGGGCACGAGACTCAAACTTGACGGGTTCTGACCCGATCCGACTCTATTAGGTCAATTTTTTTTATAAAAAATTTGGGTTCGGGTAGGTTTAGGGTGAAAAATACATAATCCAAAAAATAGTGTAATTATACTTTATATATTTAGGGATAATGAGATAATTGCAATAGTACTTCTTTTTATATTATTATTTTTCAATAAGATCCATATTTATTGAATAAAATTAAAAAAAAATATAAATATATATTTAGTGATAATATGATAATTGCAATAATACCTCCAATCCAATCCATTTAAGTTCCTAAGTTGTGGCTAGTCTGACCCAATGCTCAGCTTTAGTAGATGACTTTTATTATTCCAGTAATTGACATGTCTACTTCTATCGTATAAAGCTTAAATTAATAGAAAATTTATATTATTATTTATTGTATAATCATTGATACCCGATTTCGATTAATTCAAATCGACTAATTCTCTCAATCCAGTTTGTTCTATTCTCAAACTTTGTGGATGCAGTTTGAAATTAACAAGGGTGCAATTAGGTCAAAGTCATATATAAAGAGAGTAAGAGGAATGGACATCATCACCAACCCAATTGTACCTTCTCTCTTTTAGTGAAATCATATTTTCTTTTGAAAAGAAAAGAATCACCTACCCACTTAAAAAATGTTGAAATGGAGACAATTTTAGGTTTGGTTCAATCTACAATGTGTATTGCTTACCCAAAGATAAGATGAATATTTTTATTTTATCCATCATACATCTAAAAGGACCAATTTGACTGAACAAGTTAGGTAAACCCTAAAGTAGATTTATAACATGGTATAGCCACTGGTTAAGCCCACTAAGAAAAGTACGATCTACTCGGTTGAATTTGATTCACATGACCCATGCCCATCCCACCTTTTGCCCTCAGCAGTCAGCACCATGTCATTCATCTCAGGAACCAGTGGCTCAGCCTCACCACCATCCTTTGACTCTAGGCCTAGTTCATGTTCCAAGTAAAGCAACCACTTGTTATTTCCAGCTTCTCCAACATTCAAGCTCTGGGTGCCGTCATGTGATTGGATCCCATCAGATTGGAACGGTCCTAAGCTATCTAACATATTCCAAAACTCCATATCGGACTCGAATGGGATGTCGAAGGCGGTATCGAGGATATCCGGCTTGTTCACCTCCTCTGATGTGTTGTTATTAGCATCAAAATAACCTCCTACGAAGTTGAACAATGAGCCTGCCTGGTCTTCTGGATTCGGAACTCCAACCTGACCTGAATTCGTGGTGTTGGAAGTGATCGAAGAACTCAACAATCCTTCCAGCTCCTCGGGCAGGCTGCTGCTGCTGCTGATGTTGCCATGGTTTGATAGTTGATCACTTTTGAAGTCTTGAGCTTTGTTTGATACCGCCATTGCATATTTCTGTTTAGAGCTTTTGCCACTTGATGATGAGATGCATGAACTTGATGATGATGATGCCATGGATGATTCCTTAGGTTTATCTTTTTGATGAGTACTTCCATTCTTTGAAGAAAACCTCTTTTTCAGATGAGTGTTCCACACATTCTTTATCTCATTGTCTGTTCTTCCAGGTAAATACGATGCTATTTTAGACCACCTGAGAATCAATTTAATTGTAACATAAGCAATTAACATAACTTTGACAAAAAAAACATACATGTCCAATTATGGTTTTGGTCCCTCATGTATACTTGAATCGAGATTTAGTTTTTGTACTTTAATTTAACATGATTTGATCCTTCTACTTTTATAATATCATTAGTTACCCTATATAGTCAACACCATTAACTACTCTGGTTAAAAAGTTGATGTGAACTTTTTTCAAAAACATGTCTTCCAAAACAATATCTCATCAGCATGATAGTCTGATAAGATATTTTTTTTAAAAAAAGAAAAAGATCGTTAATTATTTAACCGGAAAAGTTAAAGAATGAATTATTTGAACTAACTGATAACATTATAAAAGGAAATGCACCAATTACATTGTAAGAAATCAATCTCGAATTTTATCAAACATACAAAAACTAGAAGAGTAGTTCTAGAGTGAAAAAAGAGTGCACATAGAAACTCACTTGTTTCCCAAAGTCTCATGTATCCTTATGTTTGTGTCTTAATCCATCATAAACGGCAACTCTTTCCACATCTCAGTAGCCCTACAGCCACACAATAAGTATATTTAAAAATCGACGTGAGATTTTATGTTAGTGGTGAATTTATAAAATTTTAGAAAGGGATGGATTTATAAAATACATAAAAAATCTAAAATACATGATAATTTTAAATTTTTAAGGGGCGCTACCTCCCGCCGTCCCCTGGATCAATTTTTTTTAATGTTTGAAGGGAATAACTTATAAAATCCAACCACAGTTTTTTCGAGAAAGTGATATAAAATAATGGTCGCATTCACTGATTTTTTTGCCTTCACAATTCAACCCTCGAAAGATTAAAAGATACTTAAAACTTTGTGATGTGGACCTTTAATTGTTTACCGGTAGGGGTGAGCAACGAAACTGAGAAAATCAAAAAACCGATACGAACGGTTCGGTTCGGTTCGGTTTGACTTTAAACGGTTCGGTTTTCGGTTCGGTTTAAAGGTTTTATTTTTTTGATTCGGTTCGGGTTTTCCATATGGAACCCATTTGTTCCATATTAAACCGAATAGGCAATTTTTGTAAAAAAAATTATAGTTTCAAGTGATTTTTTCATTGAAAAACCGAAAAACCGAACCGAACCGAACCGAACCGAAAAACCCGAACCGAACCAAAAAAACCGGTTTCGGTTTTTTAACTATTCGGTTTCGATTTAAATATTGAAAAACCGTTTATTTCGGTTCGGTTCAGTTTTTGGTAAAAAACCGAACCGAACCGAACCGAATACACCCCTATTTACCGGCCTTATTTTTTAGGTAGGAAATTTATGGTAAATACAAAATAATATTTGTTTTAAAATAACTTTCAATAATTTGACATTGAATGTTCACTCTCCTGACATTTATGGTGTTTGTATTTGAAACTTCAAAAAATAACAATAATTCTTTTATCATCGAAATATTTTGATTCGTACCAAGCATTTGAATATTGTTGAAAATTGCTAAGTATAAATAAATACAAAGGTAAATTCTTGAATGGACCTTTTCCATTTCACCAAAACTGGCCAAACCCCATCAATAAAGTACAATATAATGTCAAAGCATTTGAAAGCAAAATTCTTACCAAAACACACTTCTTGTGAAAACTTCAAGCATTTTCGTTCAACTAACACGGATCAATTGTTCATTGACTACAGTTTTCAAAAATACTTTTTTGGATTTCACCAGGTGGGAGGCAGGAAGAAGGGGGGGGCTTATTTTTAGAAAAATATATACTTTATGTTATATGCATGATTCCATGCTTGTTGAGTACTTATGGTTCAATTGTAAAATTTAAAATTAAGGCTTCCAATAAACTCAGTATACGAAAATGATGTTTGATGTGCAGTTGTAGACTAATCATGGCGCTTAATGCTCAAAGATCTTAAGTTATGATACATGATATTAAGTTATGAAAGCTTGAGTATCTTATGTGAATTTTAGAGATAAGAAAGTTCAAACATGATTTAATTGTCCTTGGACATTATTAAGTGTCGGGTATACCATAGAGCCTATTTGAGCTTCGTATACGGGTTATGTATGACTAGACATTTTGCCAATGTTGGCAGGATAATCTTTGGTGATGGTGGCAGGATAACCATTTATGTTATGTGTTGATGTTGTTGTTGGGATTTGTGTATCTATAGTCACTATAGGCTATATATTAATATGATATATCTTTTACTTGTTTGCATGACAAGAAAGAACATGAATATGTACAAGACTTTGAACTACTTGGATCTTTATACTTAAGATATGATAATTTCCATAAGATTAAGTAAGCTAATTTTAATTAGTTAGTTTTCCATTCATAGCTTTATAATCGTTTTTTACTACCTCACTAAGTTATATAAGTTTAATCGGTTTGTTTTATATCTATGTATATATTTAGTCTGTTGTGATTACAATGTAATATTTATTCATAACTTTTTATAATCATTGACAATATACACACACCTTCAAACGTAATTGCTCGAACTTGAAATCTTAAGGAAAACATCACTCTCTTTAACTACTAAAAGGTTCGATTTTGACTGAAATTTTAAATCAACAGTCTTTTATCGTTGTATTAATGGTTTGTTAACCCTTCAGCGTTAAATAGCAAGGGTTTTAACAAATGTTTGGTGGAAAGCAGAGTTTGGATAGGTTTTGTTTTGGGTGCAGGTAAAGACTTAGCCAAACTGCAATGACGTTTTGACTTAGTATCTGTTTGTTTGGCTGTAATTAAATTTTTGAAAAATAAATTACTTGAATTTGAATTACTGGAATTTGAATTACTGAAAAATGAATTACTGAAATTTGAATTCTGGAAAATGAATTACATTTCTGGAAAACGTTTTCTGGAAAATGTTTTCCGTAAAATGAATTATATTTTTTCTGAAAAATATCTGGGAAACGTTTTATTATGTTTGGAAGATGTTATTTAAACATTTTTTCTACTAGTTGAAGAGTTTTTTAAAAATTATTTATTACAAATATTAAATACAATAAATAATATTATTTATCATAAAACTTATTTATTATTTAAAATAATTTATTTATTATTAAATAATATTTTTATAATTTTATTAATAAAAATATTAATTTTTGTATATTTTAGTGAAATAAAAATATTATAAATTATATTAATTATTTATTAAAGTAATAGTGTTATATTCTATTTTAAAAATATTAATTAGTATATTTTAAATATCTTTATTAAAATATTATTTAAATATATAAATAATATTATTCATTATTAAATATATAAAAATTTATATTATATATTATTAAAATAAAAATATAATATCTTATATTATTATAATAATATAATTGATTATTTTATATAATATTAAAAATATAATATTATATTATTATAAATATTAATAAATAAATAAATAAATAATATTTTGATGAAAATGATATTAAAATATTTTATTAATATTAAATTCATAAAATAAAATTATTTTGAGTATTTATTATTTGAAGTGAAAAGTTTGGAAAATGGCTTACGGAAAATGAATCCGTAAACTATTTTCCAGAAAACATAAAGGAAATTTTGTTACTAGGAAAATGAATTACGTTCCGAAAAACGAATTACGTGAAACAAACACGAAAAAATATTTTCCAAAAAATAAATTACGTAAAATAAACACAAAAATTTGAAGAAAATCAATTTTATAATTCTAATTACGGCAAACAAACATACCCTTAATTTTTTGTCATTGAAGACTCTTTCGTTTCATACTGTGTGGCCTTTATTTACCCTCAGATGAACCATTCTCAAAGCAAACGACATCCCGAGGTTTCTCATGATTTTGTTATTACCTACATCAAAAAATTATATATCATTATTTTATTTCGTTATATATATATATATATATATATATATATATAAAGATTTGAATATCAATAGTTTCAGGCTTTGTTTATATGAAAAATTTATGTTAGGAGATTCATCCATTAAAATTAAATGTGTGACACAGATTAATTCAAATTAAACAAGAAAAAATTTCGAGAAATCTGAAGAGAAAAAATATCAAATCTTTTCATAAATACTTGAGGAATTAGAGAATGCAGTGTCTCGAGGGGAAAATGCTCCAATGCAATGGAATGCCTTGAATTATAACAATTGGAGTTGGTAAAGAAAAACATGTATTTGAAGAAATAAATTAAAATTTGTCTTATTTTACTATTATATATGTTTAGTTCACATTTCTTTCTCCTCCAATCTCCATCTGATATGACCATAGAAAAGTACAACTCGATCAACATAGATGAGTAGGTTGCACAATCCCTAAGATGTAACCTCAAATATGTAGAGTTCAATGTTTACAATCTTATAGGGTGTAGCTTCAAAACACAAATTTATTAAGGGTAAATTCTGTTTTAGTCACTCAACTAATTTTTTAAAATCATATTTAAAATTACGTTACACATCATTAAAAAATAAATAGAATTGTTGACATTATAATTTTTTTTATTTTTGTTTCCAATAATAACGTAACATTATTTATGATGACACGTCAATATTATCGTTCATTTTTCAACAGAAGGTAACCAAAACATAACTAAAACATAACTTTAGGTATTATTTTAAAAAAAATAGTTGCCCAAAATAGAACTACAAAAATAAATTGATGCCTAAATACATAATTTACTCATTTATTAACTAACTTGAATAATGGGGTTGCTTGCGAAGAGAAAATTTGAACTAAATTCCGCCATTACACTTATGCTTAAAAGAATATAACTTTTTTTAAATATATATTATCTTATAATTAATTTAGATTATTTAAATAAATAATATAAGTGTATATCATATAATAGGGGTGTACAAATTCGGGTATCCTGGTTTTTGGGTGCCCGAAGTGCCGGGTACCCGGATTTTCGGGTAATTGATTTCTCGGTTCGTATCTTGATCCGAATGTTGCGGGTACCCGAATACTCTTTTTTTATTTTCAAATTATTAATTAAAAAACACACACAAATTTAAATGTTTGAAACTTCGAATTACATAGTCCAACATCCAAACATAAAATTTAAAAGTTCGAAATACAAAATCAAATAATCCATAATATAAATAAAACATAAAAGTTTATAGCTAAATATATAAGTAGATATCTTGATACTTGAATCATGATCATTGTTACACTTCTTCATTTGTCATTCTCCTTTCCTACAATAAATTCTTTTATTATATATAAATAAATCATAAGTTTACA